AGCATTGAATATTATTTCTTACAACACAACCTTGCCATGAGTCTTGGTCCCACATTTCATGCATCACACAGTATTCTTCAGTGTGTTAAAGGTCATTGACCTCATGCTATGACATGCTTTTAGGTGGGTAGTAGTATCCTGTCGGATGATGAGGCAGTGCAAATGTTTCCCTTGAAACAGCTGAAAGGAATTCACTGTTGCTGATTTGAAAGCAATAGAGCACATCAAGAAAAATAATCATGTGGCTTGGATAAACATGTCTGTCTCCTTATTTCTTGGAATACATTAAACTAAATCAGTAAAAAAATGTATTGTCAGTCTGTGTAATGTGTATCACTATGAGCAACCAGCTGTGTTTGCGTAACAGAGTTTTAATAGATGTGGTCTCTGGAAATATGATGCAAAAAGGGTTAGTCACAGTCAGTCAGCCCTGAGTACGTTGGGATGACTACTGTAGAGAGGAACCGTATCACTTCCTGTCCAATACACTCTCCTATTGGATGAGAGCAGTTGTGGGTGGTAGCAGGAGAATGTATGTTAGCTCTTTGTGAGTGCAGCTGAGTTAATGAAAAATCTGAGACAGGGAGTGAAGAATAAACATCTTGTGTACAATAAACATTATCTGGACTAGGCTATTTGTTCAAGGAAAGAGGAAGAAGTGTGTTTCGTTAGCGTGCCTCAGAACAGTAGTTAAGGTAACCAATTTCTTCTCTTGTTCATTCTCCCGAAAGGTTTGCACTGTTTCGGTCTGCTCTTCAACGGTATAGTGTTTTTCAGAAGTGTGTGCATGTGTTAATTATCCAAAGCCAGTCAGACCATCTCTGAATTACCCCTCTTTTCAAGGGTAAAGGGTCTTTCCTCTGCCGAATGTTTGAGGCTCTCTGAAAATTATGATTCTGTTTCAAGGACTGATATACCTGATAATGGATATCATTTCAATTAAGAGCAATGAAAGCGGTTGGACATTTTATTGGGGGGCATCATATCAAATATAGAAATATAATATAATACATTTAGAATGTAGATCATCTCTTCTTAATGAAGAAAATATACTGATTGAAGGAGGAATTTGTCGTGGCTGATTCCTTTTGGGGTTGTGATGCCTGGGCCTCGGTGTGCTTATGTAGTAAATGGGATTAGGCCAGATCAGTGGCACATGAGCAGTATAAGCACTCACAGGCAGCATCCTGTGTACTAAAGCACTTGAGCCTTCATTAAACAGGTACTGTCTGGAGGAATGTCAAGTCACACAAGCATTCACCATCAGGGCAACGTAGCAGATCATGATTCAAGCATGACAACGTGGCCTTTCTATAATTTTACAAGTTGTGATCCTGTCTAGACATGCTCAGCTGCTAGTTACAGTATCAGCAGCAATATCAATTAGAGAAAATTTTCAATGGAATGTAGGTCTGATGTGTTGGGCACTTTTATTACAGTTTGAGTTTACCTGAAATGTTCCCCTTATCTCTGATGTCAAGCTGCCCTCCATTAGGCTACATCGTGTCTCTCATTGTATTATAAGTGATTTGATATGGTTTTACTGGATAGTGGAATGGATACAAAGAAAAAGGATGGACTTTTTAAAAAATCTGTTCAGCGCTTAAAATAGGATTTTTGTTTAGACTTGGATGAAGTCCAGATTAACCTTTGGTGCCCTTTTTACACTTTCCAGTGTGCTGGTTAGTGCCATCATTCTGTTACCAAACTTTGCATCTGCACTGTTCTTCAAGTAAATGTGTGCATATAGTCCTTGTGCATAGAGTTGTATGGTTTGTTTAACTTTGTAATCATCGGTTTTTGTTTGACATACATTTTAAAGTGGGAAAAAAAACAGAGTCTGCATCACTCTTACCGTGGAATTGCCCTCTTGCCAGTTGCCACCTTTGAGAATCTTGCGCAAAGAAAGAATGTGTTCTTTGGCTTACATTGAAATGTCTCTGGTTTGCACAAGGAAGTTGTTTTCAGTGATGTCATGACTCCGGTTTCTCCTGAATAGTTTTCAGTGAAGTCATTTGGGTTTGCCTTGGTCATGGGAAAAGACTGGTGATGCCCATATGCCATGGTGGTGATCGAGGTTAGAATGTAGACCTATGTTGAATGGGTTGCCAAGTGGCACCAGAAATGTGGCAATAGTAAGAATGTAATAGCCAAGTAACAAAATAAGTATTGATACTACTTAAGTGTTTAAAATGTTTTACTTTTAAAAGGTTAAGTAAGGTTTCATGTATGCTGTCTCTGTCATCTAACCTAATCTAACCTAACCTCTTTGGCTTCATAACCACTCTGCTGAACTCTGCTCTGCAGTCTTTGTATTTCAGTCTCTTCATTTACATCATTCTCAAGGGGTATTTTCCTAGGGTCGGCCTACTTATTTATTTATTAACAACTTGTGGTGCTCATTCGGATTATTCTACCTTTATAAATGTTTCTATGTCTTAACCAAGGCACCATCAATTGGCATTAATACATACAGGTAGTCTTTCAGGTTTTTCAAACACCGACCTAACATTCTTCCAGTGCTGGGAAATGATTGCACACTGCAAGCATCATATATACACTACCGGTCAAAAGTTAAGTTTTAGAACACCTACTCATTCAAGGGTTTTCCTTTATTTTTACTATTTTCTACATTGTAGAATAATAATGAAGACATCAAACCTATGAAATAACACATGGAATCATGTAATAACCAAAAATGTGTTAAATCAAAATATATTTTATATTTGAGATTCTTCAAATAGCCACCCTTTGCCTTGATGACAGCTTTGCACACTCTAGGCATTCTCTCAACCAGCTTCATTACAAGCATTTCGCTACCCGCTATAACATCTGCTAAACACGTGTATGTGACAAATAACATTTGATTTGATTTGATGAGGTAGTCACCTGAAATGCATTTCAATTAACAGGTGTGCCTTCTTAAAAGTTAATTTGTGGAATTTCTTTCCTTCTTAATGCGTTTGAGCCAATCAGTTGTGTTGTGACAAGGTAGGGGGGGTATACAGAAGATAGCCCTATTTGGTAAAAGACCAAGTCCATATTATGGCATGAACAGCTCAAATAAGCGAAGAGAAACGACAGTCCATCATCACTTTAAGACATGAATGTCAGTCAATACGGAACATTTCAAGAACTTTGAAAGTTTCTTCAAGTGCAGTCGCAAAAACCATCAAGCGCTATGATGAAACTGGCTCTCATGAGGACCACCACAGGAATGGAAGACCCAGAGTTACCTCTGCTGTAGAGGATAAGTCCATTAGTTACCAGCCTCAGAAATTGCAGCCCAAATAAATGCTTCACAGAGTTCAAGTAACAGACACATCTCAACATCAACTGTTCAGAGGAGACTGAGAATCAGGCCTTCATTACACTTACATTTTAGTCAGAGCGATTTACAGTTAGTGAGTGCATACATTTTATTTTTATTTCTTTTACTGGCCCCTCGTGGGAATCGAACCCACAACCCTGGCGTTGCAAACGCCATGCTCTACCAACTGAGCTACATCCCTGCCGGCCATTCCCTCCACTACCCTGGACGACACTGGGCCAATTGTGCGTCGCCCCATGGGTCTCCCGGTCGCGGCCGGCTACGACAGAGCCTGGATATGAACCAGGATCTTTAGTGGCACAGTTAGCACTGTGATGCAGTGCCTTAGACCACTGCGCCACTCGGGAGACTACTGCGCCACTCGGGAGACTATTCATGGTTGAATTGCTGCAAAGAAACCACTACTAAAGGACACCAATGATAAGAAGAGACTTGCTTGGGCCAAGAAACACGAGCAATGGACATTAGACCAGTGGAAAGTTGTCCTTTGGTCTGGAGTCCAAATTTGAGATTTTTGGTTCCAACCGCTGTATCTTTGTGTTCCAACCGCATGTTTATTTCCCACCATAAAGCATGGAGGAGGAGGTGTTATGGTGTGGGGGTCCTTTGCTGGTGACACTGTCTGTGATTTATTTAGAATTCAAGGCACACTTAACCAGCATGGCTATACGCCATCCCATCTGGTTTGGGCTTAGTGGGACTATCATTTGTTTTTCAACAGGACAATGACCCAACACACCTCCAGGCTGTGTAAGGACTATTTTACCAAGAAGGAGAGTGATGGAGTGCTGCATCCGATGACCTGGCCGCCACAATCCCCCGACCTCAAACAAATTGAGATGGTTTGGGATGAGTCGGACCGCAGAGTAAAAGAAAAGCAGCCAACAAGTGCTCAGCATATGTGGGAACTCCTTCAAGACTGTTGGAAAAGCATCCCAGGTGAAGGTGATTGAGAGAATGCCAAGAGTTTGCAAAGCTGTCATCAAGGCAAAGGGTGGCTATTTGAAGAATCTCAAATAGAACATATATTTTGTTTTAACACTTTTTTGGTTACTACATGATTCCATATGTGTTATTTCATCGTTTTGATGTATTCACTATTATGCTACAATGTAGAAAATAGTTTAAAAAATAAAGAAGAAACCTTGAATAAGTAGGTGTTCTAAAACTTTTGACCAGTAGTGTAGATAAGATAAAATGTTGTCAAATCTAAACTGAAGTGATGTTGACCAGACATGGGCCTCGATGTTTATGTACAGCTGCAGCAGTCTGAAAGTCTTCCAGTGAAACTCAGCTATTTTGTGCAGCAATATTTACCGGCGGTAAGGTATGTGTTAAATACCTCAGCTGTTTCTTCTTTGACGCCGTCACCCCCCCAATAATAAAACACATCTAGGTTTGGTGTGTTGCAATATATGCTTTGACATGAAATGCATACAAGAAGCCTCTTTGAAAACAAATAAAGTCATTACATTTGGCTAGTCTATGAATTAGATTTTGTAATGCACAGTGCGTGCTTGTGGCTACTGGCTAGCTCCTAGCTATTACTTCAATATAACTAATCTTGGTTAACCCAGAACTAAAATCTCTCATAGTTTGATCAGCTGTGTGATTTAGTTCTGGGTCTATATGTGTTAGAAATGGGTAGTTCCGGTTTGTGAAGTCTTCTCTCCCCTCCCCCCTTCTGCTAATTTCACCTGTGTTTATTGTGCATGCCCATACAGAAGTTTAAACACCACCTTCGCCCAATCCTGATACGTCCTAATAATCAGTGAAGAAAACCCAAACACAGGAACTACTGTTGCTCGTTATCCTACGCATTCCATCCCGTCGCGACAGATTCTTCAGTTTACGCACAGATTCTGTCCACAAGATTTTACAATATGACTAACATACTTCTCTTTCTCCATGTATTTTCTTCTTCCCCTGTGCTCAACAATTCTGGACCAATCACCCTGCTATAGAGCTAGCATCACAGACCTCTTGTGTCAAGCCTTTCCATTGAATTGTCTGGGTGCATGTGCTGCTACCTGTCCAATCTGTAATTACCGCCAACTGCTTTGGCAACCTTTCCATGACCTGAGAGCTGAGCCGTCTGAACTCTCCCTGAAGCAGACGCTTCTCCCTCAAGTCTCTCTTTCTCTTCACCTCTGCCTCACCTTCAAACATGAGGTTCAAAGTAGACATGCATTACGTAGTCTTCTCGCCTGTGTACCTGTTGATGTGGCTGTACACGCTCATCACGTTTATCCCATGGTATTTCCTCACTGATGCTGGGAAGAAGAAAACCATGGCCAAGAGAGAGAAAGCCAAGTCCACCACAGGCAAAGCTGAGGGCCCCTATCGTTGTGTAGAGAACATTGACAACCTGGCCCGGGAGGACTTTGAGGGAAAGGACACTCTAGACAAGCTGTTTGAGCATGCAGTGCAGCGCTTCGGCAAGGCAGACTGCCTGGGCACCAGGGAGGTCCTAAATGAGGAGAATGAGATGCAACCCAGCGGCAAGATCTTTAAGAAGGTAGAGTGATCACACACACATCTCACCAGGAACCAATTAGAGTGCAGTGAAGGTTCTGCCAAATAAGTTACAAAAGTTAGGTAACCTAAAGCAAGTTTGTGTAACTTCATATAATATCTAACTGTCCTAGATGAAATAATAATATAATATAATATGCCATTTAGCAGACGCTTTTATCCAAAGCGACTTACAGTCATGTGTGCATACATTTTTACGTATGGGTGGTCCCGGGGATCGAACCCACTACCCTGGCGTTACAAGCGCCATGCTCTACCAATTGAGCTACAGAGGACCACCTTGTTGAGTTACAGAAATCCCTCCTTGTTGAGTTATTAAATCAAATGTCATAAATATTTACACTGGAAATGACTTGAATTGACTCCAGTGGGATATTTACCCCTGTGAACTGAAGGCCCTTAGTAGAACCAACCCTAATGGCCTGTTCCCTGCTCTCTCCTCTGCTGCAGCTGATCCTGGGGGAGTACAGGTGGCTGTCCTATGACGAGGTGGACCAGATCATCAGCCATCTAGGTAGTGGACTGGCAGCCCTGGGCCAGCAGCCCAAGAGTACCATCGCCATCTTCTGTGAGACACGGGCAGAGTGGATGATCACTGCACAAGCCTGCTTCAGACGCAACTTTCCATGTAGGCATTGACCGCAAAACACTTCCCTATTTGAGGATCCAACACTGGCACATAAAGTGCCACTAGTTTGCATTATAAAGATATTTCCTGTTAGAACAGCAATATTTGTGATGACATTGTGTTGTGTTTTTGCATGTGAACAACATGTTTGGTTGTGTTGCAGTGGTCACTCTGTATGCCACCCTGGGGGAGGAGGCAGTGGCCTATGGCCTGAATGAGTGTGGGGCCACTCACCTGATCACCAGCACAGAGCTACTGGAGACTAAACTTAAGGTAGGAGTCATATGGGGAAATACATGGTTCACATTCCAGCCTGACTACACACTGCTTTTCTCAGCTCCTCTCTTTGTGGGAAAGAGAGCTATCTTTTCAGACAGGATGTGTGTAATCACCTCCGTAGGTCAAGGAGGAATTAAAAATTAGCCATGGGGTGTTTGTGTGTGAACTGAGGTGTGTCGTTCACCTGAAAAACAAACACTGATGTCATTGAAACTTGAATGAACCCTATAGGCATTTAGGACACGAGCTGAGATTACTCATGTGTAGACAAATATGTGTCTTCCTGTATCTCTGACAGAGTGTTTTGCCAGAAATGCATAACCTGAAGCACGTTATCTATGTGGACAACAAGAGCATCAGAAGGACGGGCTACCCAGAGGGCATTCAGATCCACAGCATGCAGGCAGTACAAGAGCTGGGAGCCAAAGCTGACAACTGTATGTGGAAACACATCAACAAAACGATGCATGTACAAAACACACAGGTCACACTGTTGGGTCAAACAGTGTTTGCACTAAAACTTGAGTTTACATATGGCTCAGATGTCATTGTAGAGATGGTAAAATGTCTAAGCAACTAGTAAAGTATAATATGCACATATGCTGGCAGTTTAGTTTAGTTCCACAACGTAGTAAAGAATGTATGTACTGGCTTGAACTTTACCATTTCTTTTCTAAGCATTATTAAGTGACGTGTCCCCCTCTGCTCCTGGCAGTGAGTGTAGCGGTGCAGCGGCCCCAGCCCACAGACCTGGCCGTGGTCATGTACACCAGCGGCTCCACAGGACAACCCAAAGGAGTCATGATCATCCACAGCAACCTGATCGCTGGCATGACGGGCCAGTGTGAGAGGATTCCAGGACTGGGGTGAGCAGAGCACTCTACCGCAGGGCCTCGATCTAGTATCTAACCACCATTTAACTAGGCTGGTCAGGTCTCTGCGTCTGACATGGGAATTTGACGCAATGTTTTAAAAACAGCAGACAAACCGTGTAATGTACTCAAGATAACCGTGCCTGAACATATTTACTCATGCGCTCTTCCTCCTCAACTTGATAATTAGACACAGTATTGTTGAAGTGCATAACCACTTCCTTATTTTTGTATACTGTCGTGAATGGTTCCAGATATTGAAGATGTAAATTGTTCTCTCATCTTCATATTGCTTACAGTATTGTGTTGTGTTTGTGTCCATGTGCAGGCCAAAGGATACCTACATTGGCTACCTGCCTCTAGCTCATGTGCTGGAGATGACTGCTGAGATCTCATGTATGACGTATGGCTGCAGGATTGGCTACTCATCACCACAAACACTCTCTGACCAGGTAATGGACTCAGCAGTTTGATATAAAGAGATAGAGTTGAGGTTGCATATTTTCTTATGGATTTGTAATTTTATTGCAAAGTGGGCAACAATCTAATGTTATTTTGATATCGCTTCTCTTTTGCAGTCGACAAAAATCAAGAAAGGCAGTAAGGGAGACTGCTCTGTGTTGAGGCCTACTCTGATGGCAGCTGTTCCGGTAAGAACCAACATCCTTCCTTAGTCTTTTCACTGATTTGTTAGTGTTTTATCAAATAGGGATGTGCACGGTTATTCGAATATCGGAACGGACGTATTATTCGAATACTTGTGTGAGTATACATTTTTGCCCCCAAAAAAGTATAGGCCAATTTTAACCTGATTCTAACACTGAAAAGGCTTTTTTTTAAATTACATTAAAATATCGATGTGACATTGTTACATACAAGGATAAACCATGACATTTCAAATTATTAATTTAATTTTAAAAAACATAGTTATTATGTGCACCCCATAAAAAGACCGGGAGCCCACCAGTTGCCTTCATGTAGATTGTTGGCCAATCAAAGTGGCAAAGAGGTTCAATGTGTAGCATGTGTAGTGAAAGTTCACTAATGCAATGCAAGATGGACTAAATTACTGAATTACAAGGAGTAGGCTACAATCAGTAACCAACAGGTAGGCTGTTTTATCTGAATGGGGTTACGCAGCATGTGACCTCCATTAGCTTAGCTAGCTTCTCTAGGCTACTCCTAGCCCTTGATCATGACTCTGTTCCATTACATTACACATAAGAGTCATTGGACGAAGGCGTCTTCTGTACGGGGGAGTTTTGTTAAGATCCCCGAACGTTTGGTCTGAACATTAACACGCATCGCTTGTGGTACGGTTTTGGAAGCATAAGGACCTTATCTTTTATATCAGCAATAAATAATTTTCAAAAAACAAAAGGTTAAATTGATACACACCTTTTTATTGTGCTAAGCTACTCCAGTCAAGACAGTCACTGTCTTGTTATATGGGATGATAAATAACATTATGGCTGGTACAAATAAACGTTAGCTAGTCTTGACTGTAGCCGAGTTGCCTTGACGTCTCTCTCCTTCCGTCTGCTCGCTACACACACCGCTCCATATAACCTCAACGGCTGCAGCAATAGAGCGCCAGCTCTATGTATTTCAAATATCCAGATATCCGACAAAAATGTATGATACTATTCGAATAGTGACATTATTTCAAACCCATATCCCTACTATAAGGCTGGCTTCTTTACAGATTTTTAGAGGTCAGCTTTAGAGGACATCCTCTAACAGGTGATGTTGATTCTTTGAGGTTATTTGATAACTATCCTGCAGTGTTGATTTCCTCTGTAGAGAAAGTGGAAGCAGAGAGATGGATAAGGTAAAAAGAAAAACAGTCACAAACTGATGCGTGATGTTTGTCTATTCTGTTTATTGTATATTATCTGTCAGGAAATAATGGACCGCATCTACAAGAATGTAATGAACAAGGTGCAGGAGATGAGCTATGTGCAGAGGACACTCTTTAAACTGGGCTACAACTACAAACTAGAACAGATCAAAATGGGCTACGATGCCCCACTCTGCAACATGTAAGTATACTGTACGTGAGGACACACACGCACATACACATACCAGCATGTTCCTAGCTCTCTATAGAGATAAAATCCCCGATACAAGGTCAGTGCATAAAGACATAAACATTGATTGTCAGTACATGGGATGAGGTGTGAATGACGGAGTCAGGCGCAGGAGGTGAAACACCGAAATCCAGAGTTTATTCAGTGTACATGAATAAAAGCGCAGCAAGCGTCAAAACGAAACTAGCACAAGGGAAAAATCCACCTTGGCTACATACAAGGAGAGCTACTCACTCTCACAATGAACAATCACTCACAAAGGACAAGGGGGCAAAGGGAACACTTATACACGGACTAATGAGGGAATGAGTACCAGGTGTGTGTGATTGACAAGACAAGACAAATGTGAGTGATGATAAATGGAGCGGTAGTGGCTAGTAAGCCGGTGACGACAAACGCCGAAACCTGCCCGAGCAAGGAGAAGGGGCAGCCTCGGCTGAATTTGTGACAGTACCCCCCCTTGACGCGCAGCTCCAGCAGCGCTCTGACACCGGCCTCGGGGACAGCCAGGAGGACGCGGAGCAGGGTGAGTCGGATGGCGACGATGGAAGTCCCTCAACAGAGAGGGATCGAAGATATCCCTCACCGGGACCCAGCACCTTTCCTCCGGACCGTACCCTTCACACTCCACAAGGTACTGAAGGCCCCCCACCCGGCGCCTCGAATCCAGTATGGAACGGACAGAGTACGCCGGCGCTCCCTCGATGTCCAAAGGAGGTGGAGAGACCTCCCGCACCTCAGACTCCTGGAGCGGACCAGCCACCACCGGCCTGAGGAGAGACTAATACGGTAATCTAACCGGCCTGAGGAGAGACTAATAAGGGGTTAATACGGTAATCAGGGGGGAGTAATAACCTATATGTGACCTCGTTGATTCTCCTCAGGACTTTGAACGGCCCTACAAACCGCGGGCTCAGCTTCCGGCATGGCAGGCGGAGGGGCACATTCCGGGTCGAGAGCCAGACCCGATCCCCCGGTACAAAGACGGGGGCCTCATGCGGTGACGTTCAGCGTTGGCCTTCTGACGACGCACGGCGCGTTGGAGGTGAACATGGGCAGCGTTCCACGTCTCCTCCGCGCGCCGAAACCAGTCATCCACTGCAGGAGCTTCGGTCTGGCTCTGATGCCACGGTGCCAGAACCGGTTGATAACCTAAAACACACTGAAATGGCGTTAGGTTCGTAGAGGAGTAGCGGAGAGAGTTCTGGGCATATTCTGCCCATGGCAGGAACACCGACCACTCCCCCGGTCGGTCCTGGCAATAGGACCTCAGGAACCTACCCACATCCTGATTTACTCGTTCCACCTGCCCATTACTCTCAGGGTGGAACCCAGAGGTCAGGCTGACCAAGACTCCCATACGTTCCATGAACGCCTTCCAGACTTTTGACGTGAACTGGGGACCTCGGTCAGACACTATATCCTCTGGTACCCCGTAGTGCCGGAAGACGTGTGTAAACAGGGCCTCCGCAGTTTGCAGAGCCGTGGGGAGACCAGGCAGAGGAAAAGCGGTCCACAATGACCAGGATGGTGGTGTTCCCTTGAGAGAGAGGCAGATCAGTTAAAAAATCAACACTCAAATGAGACCATGCCACCAGTACTTTTCGGTCAGGCAGCGCACTGTACGACCGATACCTGGGTGACCAGAGGAGGGTGACATGTGTGCCCAGTAGATCAGACGATCACGGATAAGCGCAGGCACGTACTGCAGCCCAGCTGGACACTGCGGTGGAGATGGATCTGTGCGTAATGCCTGCGCTATATCCGCGTCCACCGGCGCCACAATGCATGAGTCTGGCAGTATGGGGGTATTGTCTCTGGGCCTCTCCTCTGTATCATACAGCCGGGACAGTGCGTCTGCCTTCACGTTCTTCATACACGGAATGTATGGCAGTGTGAAATCAAACCGGGTGAAGAATAGGGCCCACCTGGCCTGGCGAGGGTTCAGCCTCCTCGCTGCCCGGATGTACTCCAGGTTACGGTGGTCCGTCCAGACGAGGAATGGGTATTTCGCCCCCTCGAGCCAATGTCTTCACACGGTCAGCGCTTGGACAACAGCCGACAGCTCCCGATCACCAATGCCGTAGTTCTGCTCCGCTGGGCTGAGCTTCTTTGAGAAGAACGCACAGGGGCGTAGCTTGGGTGGCGTGCCCGAGCGTTGAGACAGGACTGCTCCCATCGGACGCATCCACCTCCACTACGAACGGTAGTGATGAATCGGGGTGGGCCAGTACCGGGGCCGAGGTGAACAGTTCCCTCAGGTTACTGAAGGCCCTGTCAGCCTCAGCAGACCAGCGGATCCAGGACGGCCCACCCTTCAACAGAGATGTAATGGGAGCTGCGACCTTGCCAAAGCCCCGGATAAATCTCAGATAATAGTTGGCGAAGCCAAGGAAGCGCTGCACCTCCTTTACCGTGGTTGGAGTCGGCCAATTACGCACGGCTGCAATGAGGTCGCCCTCCATCTCCACACCTGTGGTAGAAATGCGGTATCCGAGGAAGGAGACGGACTGCTGGAAAAAAACATACACTTTTCTGCCTTAGCATACAGGTCATTTTCCAACAGTCGGGCCAGTACTTTGCGAACCAGGGACACATGCTCGGCGCGCGTAGCGGAATACACCAAGATGTCATCGATGTAGACCACTACACCGCGACCAAGCATGTCCCGAAACACCTCGATCACAAAGGACTAGAAAACTGAGGGAGCGTTCATCAAACCATAGGGCATCACCAGGTATTCATAATGCCCCGTGGTTGTGCTGAATGATGTCTTCCACTCATCTCCCTCTCGGATACGCACCAGGTTGTACGCACTCCTGAGATCTAATTTAGTGAAGAAGCGCGCTCCATGCAATGACTCAACCAGTGACGGAATGAGGGGGAGAGGATAACTAAATCTAATCGTCTCCTTGTTCAGTGGTCGATAGTCAATGCACTAGCTTGGGAACTCTCATGTAATCAGGGAAGTATATGGGTATGGTACAGTGCGCAGCAGAGGGCTCTGAACAAGTGTGGGTGCTCAATACCTGGGGTGATGCGAGAGTGCCCTGCCGGCCGCCTCCTGACCCAAAAGAGCACTGACGACAACGTGTGGTGGAATGTCCCTTCGTGCCATCCGATTGGCACTGGCACTGTCGTCTTCCGCTCTCTTGGTGCGCGGTACCACCCAGCTCCATGAGCTCTGGATCTGCGTTGGTCGGGGCGGGAACGGGCAGACCTCCTCCAGGACGTCCTTTGGTTGCCAGCAGGTTATCCAGACGAATGGCCATGTCCACCAGTTCGGTAAAATACAAACTGGTGTCACGACAGGCTAGCTCCCGTCGGACGTCCTCCCGTAGATGGCACCGGAACTGGTTGATCAGGGCCCGCTCGTTCCACCCGGATCCTGCTGCCAGAATCCGGAACTCCAGGGAGTTCACCCCTGCCTCAAGTGGACCAGCTGCTCACCTGCCTCTCGGGCGGGTGATCGAAAACTGCCCGAAATAGGCGGGTGAACTCCCTGTAGTCCTCCAACACGGCTCCTCCTTCTCTCCAAACCACGTTGGCCCACTCCAGGGCTTTCCCCGAGAGGCAGGAAATGAGGACTGACACCTGCTATCGATCTGATGGCGCCGGCCTAACACTGGAGCAGTACAGCTCCAGTTGGAGAAGGAATCCCTGACATAGAGCCGGCGTCCCATCGAACGCCCGTGGTCGAGATATAAGTTGTTCTACAAACGTTGGGCTATACGTTTTGATTTTTAGTACATTTTTAGTACATTGTAAGGCTGCATGATGCGACTCTAATGATGATTTGAAAAAAGTTGCTTGAAAGGCATGAGCTCTGCTTTGTTTTTTGCTGGTTGAGCTACTCTTTCCTTGTATGTAGCCAAGGTGGATTTTTCCCTTGTGCTAGTTTCGTTTTGACACTTGCTGCGCTTTATTCATGTACACTGAATAAACTCTGGATTTCGGTGTTTTACCTCCTGCGCCTGACTCCGTCATTCACACCTCATCACAGAATCACTCACCTCTATGGAGTCAGCAGGAGAGGAGCACATGCCTGGAATAGTGGCAAGGGTCCAGGAACATTCCACTATGCTTGGCCAGCTGGTCTCGACGGATCGGTTCCTCTTCTCTCCAGGCGTTGGACGACCTGAAGAACCCGATCCATCACTTCCCCCAAGCTGGCCAGCATAGTGGAATGTTCCTGGACCCTTGCCACTATTCCAGGCATGTGCTCCTCTCCTGCTGACTCCATAGAGGTGAGTGATTCTGTGATGAGGTGTGAATGACGGAGTCAGGCGCAGGAGGTAAAACACCGAAATCCAGAGTTTATTCAGTGTACATGAATAAAGCGCAGCAAGTGTCAAAACGAAACTAGCACAAGGGAAAAATCCACCTTGGCTACATACAAGGAAAGAGTAGCTCAACCGAGCTACTCACTCTCACAATGAACAATCACTCACAAAGGACAAGGGGGCAGAGGGAACACTTATACACGGACTAATGAGGGAATGAGTACCAGGTGTGTGTGATTGACAAGACAAGACAAATGGAGTGATGATAAATGGAGCAGTAGTGGCTAGTAAGCCGGTGACGACGAACGCCGAAACCTGCCCGAGCAAGGTGGAGGGGCAGCCTCGGCTGAATTTGTGACAGTACATAAAAACACAAGTATTTGCAACATGCCATTACATGGAAGTAACAGGTATAGCTAGGCTATATCAAACTACGTGGGTTTTTAAATGCCGTATAGATTTGTCCCCTGGAATCCATTAAATGCACGCTTGTATTTTGACTGGTTTTGGTTCTCCTTTTCTTGTCTGCCAGTCATGTCTAGTTTCCTTTCCCCATTTCTTGGTATCAGCATGACAGAGACATTGGCCTCTTGGTGACCCTCTCAACCATTGTTTTTGTTGCCAATTTTACTTTATCGGATTCTAATAAATAGGCTAGAAGTGTGTCACTTCTAGGGCTGTTGCGGTGACCGTATTACCGCCACACCGGCGATCACGAATCATGAAGGCATTCCACGTGACTGTTTAGTCATGGTAATTAGGCTTCTCCAAGCTCTGATGTTGCTGATGGTCATCAGTAGCCTACCAAACTTGCTAACTGCCTGGTACTCAGCACTCGATTGTCCCTCTAATCACTCTGACATCAATGCAAATGTCAAATCTAATCAAACACTTAATGAGAGCCCATGAGCTCATGTTGCGCAACATTTCTATAGGCTATGCAATTGCACGAGAAAACAGAGTGATGGCCTTTATTTTAAAAAAGAGGATCCATCAGCTTTCTATAGGCTAGGCCTACTATATTTATTTCTAAACTTTCCTAATATTAAGCACATTGCTTATCTTTACAACAGGAGTATAGCCAACCTGGCTGGCATGAAAATGAACCACGAGAAAAGTGTCCTCCATTTGCTATTTAAGTGCATAGATTACATGTATTTTTTCCCGCTCCCACTGTTTCGAGACAGGTGCATGATAATGGTACATTCTAAATCAAAAGAAATTTCACACATATATTATTTAGTATATGTAAAGACAAGATTCAATCAAGAATTTAAGAGGATCCATCAGCTTTCTATAGGCTAGGCCTACTATATTTATTTCTCAACTTTCCTAATATTAAGCACATTGCACATTGCTTATCTTTACAACAGGAGTATAGCCAACCTGGCTGGCATGAAAATGAACCACGAGAAAAGTGTCCTCCATTTGCTATTTAAGTGCATAGATTACATGTATTTTTTCCCGCTCCCACTGTTTCGAGACAGGTGCATGATAATGGTACATTCTAAATCAAAACAAATTTCACACATATATGATTTAGTATATGTAAAGACAAGATTAAATCAAGAATAGTCTGATGGGTGACAATATTAGGTTGTCACTTGTGAATTATATATTCTCACTTGTGAATGATGCCCAGCATAAGGCAAGAAACAATGCCTTTTTTCGAATCATAGTCGCACACCTCATGTAGCCTAGCCCATAGGCCTATATGTTTTGATAAGGTTTGTATCACAACTAAAGTGGCCAAATAACATAAGCACATTAATACGCTTTACAAGGGTGTAGAGCCTAGCTGGCATACATAAGCAGTGTGTGAGTTTCAAGTTTGGGAAGATAATTTTCACCATAAAAATTCACCTTTTATAATAAAACCATTACATGTATAATCGCATTTGCGGTCACTTTTGATAATGGTGTTTTCCGCTAATGGAACATTCGTGCTTATACCCTACTGCCATGTGCGCATTGCTGCGCTTATAATGTGAAGAAATAGCCTAATAGTCTATCAACATTTAAAGCTAAACGTTCTGATCTTTTGCGTCAGCCACATTGCGTAAAAAAGTTTTTGTTGATGCTAGTGGTTGTATTAATTTGGGATCTATCGCATCCCACAACTGTCCCAGACTATGTTTGGAATATTTATTTCTCGCACAGAATAGAATAGGTCAACTTTTGTACTATGGGGGATAGTAGATTGACATAGGCTAGTGCTTTTGCTGTTCGTTAGGCCTACTCATCTTGTTGGCTGACGAAAAGTTAATGTGGAAAGTTCTTCCAATATCTTCAATATGCACCTTGGAATTGGATAAGGAGGCGTGCAATTGCGTCCCCGATGTGTCTGTCTTCACTTGTAGCCTGTGAGAAATACCTGATCACGTGATGGAGAGCCATGTGAGTGAGAGGTGCTTCAGCGCAAAAGGCATTGCTTTTTTTAGGGTGCATTACGGCCACACAACGGGGATGCGGCCGTGAAATTATCAAATGCTTGTCAAATTGTGAATGCCTGAGCAAAAAACAAAGCAGAGCTCATGCCTTTCAAGCAACTTTTTTCAAATCATCATTAGAGTCGCATCATGCAGCCTTACAATGTACTAAAAATCAAAACGTATAGCCCAACGTTTGTAGAACAACTTACATTAATTAACAGGTTACATTAATACATTCAAATCAAATTAAGCATATAGGAGTACCTATTTACGTTTATATTTTAGTAATTTAGCAGACGCTCTTATCCAGAGCGACTTACAGTTAGTGAGTGCATACATTTTTCATATATATTTCTTTGTTAACCGCTCAACACAGAATATCCGCATGTGCGCACTCCCTCAAATCGTTTGGAGAAAATATCCATTCTATTTTATTCAGCTTTGTTCAATTGTATTCTTCATACTATAAAATAATATAAAATAATGCCATGGAATTCTAAGCAAATCTTGTCTGCTAAATGAACTAGTATATCCCACAGACGTTTGGCATAGCCAGATCAGGACCTAACATAAGGACAACTCAGAGTATGCTATTCAGTTCTTCTGAAATAGACTACATTTTCTTCATATCATGCTTCTTTAGACCAGTGTAAAATAAATAATGGATTTATTGTGAAGGTGTAGTCTATATTACATGGATGTATTAGACTTTTTTAAATGTAGATGTTCCAAAGGTCTGCATCAGTGACTTGTAGGGTATGTGTGGAAGCCAGGAGATGCTAAATGTGTTTGTTAATTAACGTCAATTACCGTGAGACCGACAGTTATTTGCTTGACAATCACCAGCTGACTAAATTTCGTGACCGCCACAGCCCTAGGACTCACTTCCATTGCAAGTCAAATGTGACCTAGTTCTGAGATGGCAGAGACCATTGACAGGATCAGAATCTGTATGCATCATCATAACATGCAACAACCTGCATCATTGCAAGCTGCTTATCAGGGGATCCTTCTGATTGATAAGGGTTGATTGCAAAATATTTGATTTCAGACAGTGAAACTGTATCAGTAAGCATGGACCAATGGGTATCTTAAACTAGGAAGTAGTAATAAGTTCATTTCCCCCCCTCTGCTCTGTCAGGCTGCTGTTTAAGAAGGTGAAGGATCAGCTGGGAGGGAACATCAGGATGATGCTTTCAGGAGGGGCGCCCTTGTCCTCCGCCACACAGCGCTTCATGAACATCTGCTTCTGCTGCCCCGTGGGACAGGGCTACGGCCTCACAGAGACCTGCGGAGCGGGTACCATCACAGAGGGTGAGTCACGGCAGGCACAGCCACGGACTACTACTGCTGGGGTCCTTCGCTAATGACATTCACCCTGGAAGTGGTATCATTACCAAGTGCACCCTTGGCTCCTTCACCAGCAGAGTAGTAGTAGTAGTAGTGTGTAGGGGAATGGTGGGCGCTCTGTCATTTGAGAATCTTCACCATTGTATTTTTTGTTGAGGAATTATACCTATGCATGCCATGGTAAATTTGGGCTTTAGCCAAAACGGAGAACAGACTACTGCTCAGGCTTTTTTATCTATTGAGGTGCACTGAGGGTTTCATGTCTTTAAACACACATGCTCTCAGAGGTAGATGTCTTTGTTCAAGCCCCAACCTGTGAAACGTTCTGTGATACTGGGATCATTGATGACAGAGGAATGACAGCTATACTAAATATCTAACTGTTTTGCATCAATCGGCTTTGCTGTATAGGTCACGCAGGTATCAGTTACTTTTCAGTGCATTGTGAATGTGGAAGGATATGCTTGTGCGATGCTACGCAGCAGTATTTGAGTGTGAAACAGTTGGCTGAATGATGCCAAATAACCACTGGGGCCGATTTTATAAGGTCATATCATTTAAGAGGACTTATAATAAAAAATAATATGCCATTTAGCAGACGCTTTTATCCAAAGCGACTTAGTCATGCGTGCATACATTTTTTTGTTCTCAGTTTCATTGAATTTCAAGGCAGAGGACAATGTACAAGTTCTTACAAGTTCTTAGTTTAAAAACAAACAACATTATTTTATAACAAATCAATGTTGGCAATGATTTGATTTTCCTCATAGCTCAAAGCTGTGTATGAACTAAATATGACAGTGTTATAATTGTGACTCTCCCACCACACTGTGTTTTATCTCAGGTCAATCTGAAGGACACGTGTGTTAGTGATGCGCGGGTCAGCTGTTTGTTCACCCGCACCCGCCCGCAATTGCTAATAACACATTCGCAACCGCCCGACTATATGTGATAAAGTCCAAATCTGAGGCCTGCACCCGACCCAAACCCGTAAATATAGAACATGCGCTGTATTATGTTAGGCTATGTGAGAGGTTATACACTTAGCCTACAGTCAGTGTCGAGATTTCAGTTACTATTCCATTTAACCCATCTGAACACTACAGTTCCCATCTTGTGACTGTCAAATTTGTATAGCGCCTCACAATCATCACACAACATAGCCGCTGTTATCAACCTCTTTTACCACTTCACCAAATCTTTCCCAAACATTACTGTTCTGGCCCTCCCTTCTTTAATTTTTAAATTAAACTCTGACATTGTCCTTTTTGCCTCAGTGGATCGACGTAAATGTTTTCTGCCCATCTTCCCAAAAGCATTTGGTGATTGGCGTGCATTTGCCGTGCGTAGGCTAATGTTAGGCCCTAAAGCTTAGGCTTTTTTGTACCCTTGTCTAAAGCTAGATAAAAAGAATGAAAGAAAAACCTTAATGTAGCCTATCCTGTAGATATGAATTACACAATTATAGATTTATAGATTTTTTAAATGCATTGTTTTCTCTTTATTCAACGGGCCCGCCACCCACCCGCTCTTCAGATATAACCGCAGGGACTGCGGGTTATGAGTCAACCCACACATCACTAACATGTGTATCTTGCTCTATGCCTTAGATGTGCATGAGCATAAGCACTGACGCTTATTCTTTAATAAGAAAACCTTGATTTGACAAATATTCCCAGGCTGGTTTTTAGTAGGCCGGGTTGCAGCCTACTACTGGCATCAGGTATTAAACTCTACATGGGACTATTTTATTTATTTGTGATTGTGTGTTTCCTCTCTCCAGTGGCAGACTACAGCACTGGGAGAGTAGGAGCCCCCCTCATCTGCTGTGAGGTCAAACTACGAGACTGGGTTGAGGGTAAGTAATAAAGCCTATGGACACACACTTATTTGTGAATATTTATGATAAAGTGTACTGTGCTGTTGAGGAGAGCTTGCAAGTAAGCATTTCACTGTATCAGTTACACCCTGTATCCTGTGCACGTGACAAATAAACATTGATTTTGACACACCTATAGTATGTGTATCACAGATGACTTGGACATCCTCATTTAGTAGCTGCCCTATTTGCCTCCTTTGCATGTTGTTACCGTATTTTCATGTGGCTCTCAGTATGTGCCCGATTTAGCTTCCAGGTTTTTTCCTGGTCCAAACAATCCTCTATACAGCTGTTCTCTACCACCATGCCTCACTCTTATCTTCCCACTGTGTTCCCAAGGCGGATACACCAGCCAGGACCAGCCCCACCCCCGTGGAGAGATCATGATTGGTGGGCCCAACGTTACCATGGGTTACTATAAGAGTGAGCACCTGAACAATGACTTCTGGGTGGATGAGCAGGGCCAGAGGTGGTTCTGTACCGGGGACGTGGGGGAGATCCACCCTGATGGCTGTCTGCAGATAGTGGGTGAGTGGCTGAGAGGTGGAGAACATCTGAATAATAACACCAATGTTCACTGAACATTGCACAACAGCTGCCTCTTCAACACTTTATGACCATGTGGCAATACTGTCATAAACAATTCAAATGGATGTAAACAGTGCTAACTGCCATAAAACCTCTCAGAAGATGTAGACAACACTGTGCTGCCATATTTTAGTGTTCTCACTGACCCTCTCTGCTCTGTTTGTTCCATGTAGACCGTAAGAAGGACCTGGTCAAACTGCAGGCTGGAGAATACGTGTCCTTGGGGAAAGTGGAGTCTGCTCTGAAAAACTGTCCCCTTATTGACAACATCTGTGCATATGCAAACAGGTAACTTTATTATATACCATACACTTCTTTACATAGGACCGAACGCTATTACATTGACACCACATGCGTTTGTGGTTATGTTTTAGTAGTTATTCTACATGTATCACCCTTAAAACATATTCAATGTGCATGCTCAAGTCTAGTCTGTATCTTATTATTTTTTGAAATATTGTTTTACTTTTTACCCCTTTTTCTCGCCAATTTTCGTGATATCCAATTGGTAGTTAATCTTGTCCCATCGCTGTAACTCCCGTACGGACTAAGGAGAGGCCAAGGTCATCCTCCGAAACACGATCCTGCCAAGCTGCACTGCTTCTTGACACACTGCTCGCTTAACCCGGAAGCCAGCCGCACCAATGTGTCGGAGGAAACACTGTACAACTGGCGACCGTGTCAGCGTGCATGCGCCCGGAACGCCACAGGAGTCGCTAGAGCGCGATGGGACAAGGACATCCGGCCAGCCAAACCCTCCCATAACCCGGACGAATGTGGGCCAATTGTGCGCCGCCTCATGGGTCTCCCAGTCATGGCCGGCTGCTACACAGCCCGGGATCGAACCCGGGTCTGTAGTGACTCCTCAAGCTCTGCGATGCAGTGCCTTAGACCGCTGCGCCACTTGGGAGGCCCTAGTCTGTATCATTTTTAACATTTTATCTTGCTTTTAGTGACCAGAACTATGTGATAAGCTTTGTGGTACCGAACCAGAAGCAGCTGACAATTCTGGCCAATAAGAACGGCATCAGTGTCGCCTGGGAGGAGATCTGTAACCACCCAGCCATGGAGAAGGAGGTCCTGAAGGCCATCAAAGAGGTGGCTGTCTCAAGTAAGGCTGACACCTACTCTATGACACATCCTGTTAACTTGACTAACCAGATGGATAATAACTTAGAATTAATAGACACATCCTTTTAGTGTGTGACAATAGAGGGCTTTGTTCATGCCATGCATATCCCTTTTATATTATCCATTGTGTTTTTCCCCCCTCAGTCAAACTGCAGCGTTTTGAGATCCCAGTGAAAGTGCGTCTGAGCCCTGAGCCCTGGACCCCTGAGACTGGCCTGGTGACGGATGCATTCAAACTGAAAAGGAAGGAGCTGAAGAACCACTTCCAGACTGATATCGAGAGAATGTACGGAGGGAAGTAGAGCCACCATCCGATCTAACCTAAGAACGGTTTCCTCACAACTTTCACCAGTGAAATGAGTGTGTGCGTGTCTGAATGTGTGTGTATGCTTGCGTGCGTGTGCATATGCTTCAACGCACGTGTAAAACTCATTCCACGGAGGGCAGAGTGTCTGCGGGTTTTCGCTCCTCCCTTGTTCTTGATTAATGAAATAAGGTCACTAATTAGTAAGGAACTCCCCTCACCTGGTTGTCTGTCTTAATTGAAAGGAAAACCAAAAACCCGCAGACACTCTGCCCTCCATGGAATGAGTTTGACACCCCTGCTTCAAAGCATTATGCCTGTGAACTGTAGAATTGTCTTTCCACGTCGTCTCTTTTGTCAAATTATGAATGTCAGTCCATAAAGTTCAGCACAGAGGGATCAGCTGGTTAGTTACGGCTATTTGTGTTGGAGATCGCACAGCATTGTGTAAAACTGCCATTCGAATGCAAGTCTTGTATTTGCATATTGTAATTAGCCTTTGGGATTTATTATGACATGTCAGAAAATACTACTATTTTTGTGTCTAAGGGAGCTAGGTGTCATCATGTCCTTTTCTCAATTCGATTTGCTCAACTCCTGAGTCGTCTGTCCTATCTGGCCTCCTTTTGAAAAAGGTCAACCGTAATTGATGCAAAGAAAACATTTTGCTGCCCCCTAGTGAGCAAGCCCCCACAGTGCTGCTGTATAAATTGTTTGCTTGTTCTGTACATAGGATCACATTACTGCCACATAACAACTGCCAAGCCCCAACAATCCTTTAGGCTATTGCACATAGATCAAACCTGAGTGTAACGTCGGCCATTTCTGTCACCTGTGCTTGTGTCATTTTTGTTTTCATGTTTTGAACCTGCTCATGACATTGTCATAGTGACACAACCCAAGCCAAGTATGTCACGTTATGTTTTAGATTGTTCAGATACTAGGTAATTGCTATGGTTAATGTCATACTTGCTATGTTACAGCATGGATTATCATTTTTATTTGAGCAAAATGAAGATAGACCTTTAGCCTTTTTGTTTTATGCTGATCTCTTCCTACAACTCTGTTGTCATATACTGTACAATATTTATAGACTTGGAGTTTCAAGTCATCTTTATAATGTAATAGTTCTACATTTCTGACCTCTGGACCTCTTAATAGCCTGTATGCTCTTAAATTTGATATTTTGTCACATACAAAGTTTATCAAGATATGAAATACTCAATATAATTCAATGCAATTTTTGGATTATATGATGTTGAAAATCCAATTGAGTTGCATGTGTAAAGAACTTGAATGTAAAAGATTTTGTATGTTCCATAAGGTCAAGTTAAACGTTGAACCGTTTTACATTTTTTGGATGAATTTGTACTATTGAACTGTTTAAAGGTCACAATTGTGCTTCTTGAAACTTTGTGTGGAACCTTAATGAAAATGCTGTGCATCAGCAAGTTTGCTTCATCAAATGTACAGAAATTCAAAGCTAATGAGTTATAGCATTCGGAAGCTGTTTAACGTGGCATATAATGCAGTAAGAGAGAATTGATGGTGTCGTGACAACTGAAACGTGCAAATCAATGCCAAAAATAATATTCCAGGATGCATTGCATTCATAACATATAATACAATTTAACGATTTTGCAAATATCCTCAATGACCAACACATTGGGGTGAAACATAGACACTGTTCAAATTAGCCATGATACCACTCTAATCCATTGAGTCCTATCACGGCTATGTTCCAATAGGAGTGAGAAAGGTCAAAAGCCACTACATGTTTTTTGTCAAGTTTTTATTATTCTTATACTCAGGGTTACATCCACCAAGAATGCGACAGCAGTAGTATTTATTTTGAGACCAACCTTTCATCTTATTATGTTAATTGTGAAGCACTTAGGCTGCGTTTACACTGGCAGCCCAATGCTGATATTTCTTCCAGTAATTGGTCTTTTGACCAATCACATCAGATCTTTTCACATCAGATCTTTTTTAGAGCTGATCTGATTGGTCAATAGACCAATTAGTGAAAAAAATATCAGAATTGGGCTGCCTGGGTAAATGCAGCCTTATTCTCTTCATTCATTTATATTGATGGGATGTTTTGTTAGTTCATTTGTATTATTTATTCAAATCTGTTAATATGTGTATGAAACAACGTGTGATAGGGATGGGCAGTGTGTACCTTCTGGTTATGTCATTTGAAAGTACATATTCTTTTTATATGAATATATTAAAGCTTTCTGCCCACTGTAAAATGTTTGTTTATTATTTGAATAATTGTCAGTCAGATAAATATCAATCTAAAGTATTGTTCAATGATTTATAATTAGGTTCACTAGTTTAAATCTACCCCATTATTTCACAGCACTGTCAAGAAAGATGCATTCTCCCTATCCTTGGGGCAAGCTTTGCAAATCTTTCAAGCAAGAAGAATGACAGAATTTCAACCAAGCCCAAGGTATGAGGTGATGAATGATTCTAGTGCCTCTCATAAATTCAGTAAGTAGTGTAGGGCTCACAGCAAACTCAAATGTGTCATTGCTCCACTCGGACATGGCTGTTTATTATAGTGCGTCATGGCAGGTAACATAGTGCCTAGTGAAAGTCTACAAAGCTTGCACAGTCTTCAACATTTTAAAAACAAATCTAAAAATGGATTTAATTTGGATGTTTTTTTCCTACAAAGTTATAGAACATTTTCCAAATTAATTAAACATTTAAAATATGTCTTGATTGTGCATGTCTTCACACCCCTGAGTTAGTACTTGGTGGAAGCACCTTTGGCAGCCATTACAGCTGTGAATCATTTGGAATAAGATTTTACCAACTTTGCATCATATATCCATTGTTTTTGTCAACATTTCTCAAGCTCAGTAAATTTGGTTGGGAATCACTTGATGGACAGCCAAATTCAAACTTTGTCTCAGATTTTCAAGCAGATTTAAGTCAGGACTAAGACTAGACCTCTCAGGAACCCTCAACACCTAATGGAAAGCCATTCTGGTGTGTCTTTGGCATTAACATTTGTATAATTGTCTCGCTGAAAAATAAAACTCTATCCCAGTGTTAGGTTTTCAGTAGACAGGTGGGATTTCCTCTTAACTTTTTTTACCTGGGCTTTGCTCCTTCCGTATTTATTTTGATCCGTACAAACTCCCCATTCCTTGCCGATGACAAGCATACCCATAACATGATGCTGCCACCACAATACTTGAAAATACAGAGGGTGTGTATTGGATTTTACCCAAACCTGTAGTTTTTTTATTTAGGCAAAAAAGTTTGTCTTTGCCATGTTGTCTTGCAGTATTACTTAAAGCTGAAATAGGTAACTTTTGGGGCAACCCAACCAAATTCACATAGAAATGAGTTATAGATATGTCATTCTCATTGAAAGCAAGTCTAAGAAGTGGTAGATATGTTCTATGTGCACTCTTTCTATGCTTCCTGTTCTTAAGTTTAGTTTTTGCGTCTTTTACTTTCTTTTGTACACCAGCTTCAAGCACAATATCTTTTGGTTATGGAAAATATATTTCACAGCGGTTTAGATGGTACAATGATTCTCTACACTATACTTACTTGTTTTTTCACAAACTGAAATATAAGAACTATTAGAATTTTAGCAACCAGGAAATGGCGGAGTGATTTCTACATAGTGCATCTTTAATGGTCTTGTTGCAAACAGAATTGTGGATTTTTGATTTTTTTAAACACAGGCTTCCTTCTTTTCACTTTGTCAAACAGGCCAGTAATGTGGAGTGATGTTGTTTGAGAGACTAGTCAAGGATCATATCACCTCCACCTTACCTGTCACCCTAGACCCACTTAAATTTGCATCCTGCCCCAATAGGTCCAAAGACGATGCAATCGCCTGCACACTGCCCTATCCCATCTGGACAAGAGGAATATCTATGTAAGAATGCTGTTCATTGATGATAGCTCAGCATTCAACACCATAGTACCCTCCAAGCTCATCATCAAGCTTAAGGCCCTGGATCTCAACCCCGCCCTGTGCAATTGGGTGCTGGACTTCCTGACAGGCCGCCCCCAGGTGGTGAAGGTAGGAAACAACTTCTCCACTTCGCTGATCCTCAACACTGGACAATTTTTCTTGCACTTTGAAAATGTGGAGTGGGTTGTGTAGATCGGTAAAAAAAAGATCAAATTTAATCCCTTTTTAGATTTATACTGAACAAAAATATAAATGCAATAATTTCAAAGATTTTACTGAGATACAGTTCACATAAGGAAATCAGTAAATTGAAATAAATTCATTAGCCCCTATGAATTTCACATGACTGGGAATACAGATATGCATCTGTTGGTCACAGATGCCTTTTTAAAAAAAAGGTACGTCAGTATCTGGTGTGACCACCATTTGCCTCATACAGCGCAACACATCTCCTTCGCATAGAGTTGATCATCAGGCTGTTGATTGTGGCCTGTGGAATGTTGTCCCACTCCTCTTTGATATTGGCGGGAACTGGAACACGCTGTTCACAATGTTGACATCAGCAAACCGCTCGCCCACACAACACCATACACGTGGTCTGAGGTTGTGAGGACGGTTGGATGTACTGCCAAATTCTCTAAAACGAATGAGGTGGCTTATGGTAAAGAAATTAACATTCAATTATCTGGCAACAGTTCTGGTGGACATTCCTGCAGTCAGCATGCATTCAGTTGCATGCTCCCTCAAAACTTTAGACATATGTGGCATTGTGTTGTGTGAAAAAACTGCACATTTTAGAGTGGCCATTTATTGTCCCCAGGTGCACCTGTGTAATGATCATGCTGCTTAATCAGTTTCTTGATAATCCATCCACCCGACAGGTGTGGCATATCTCGGCAAAGGATAAATGCTCACTAACAGGGATGTAAACAAATTTGTGCACAACATTTGAGAGAAATACGCTTTTAGTGCGTATGGAATAATTTCTGGGATCTTTTATTTCAGCTCATGATGCATAGAACCAACACTTTACATGTTGCATTCATATTTCTGTTCAATGTAATTTTAAGTCACAAAATGTGAAGACTGTGCAAGGGGATTGTAGACTCACTAGTGACTGTAAATTAAGAAAAAAGGTATTGTCTATATCCTGATTTCCAATACTGTCCTACAACCTGACATGATAATTTCATTATGTGAGAGTCAAGAAAAAGGTAAGTAAAAGAATGGAGTTTGTGGGAGCTGAAACTGGTATAGAGATGTAAAGCCCCTTATAAATAATAACTCAATGATCTGTTAGATAAATAAAACATGTTTTGTGAGTAAAAAGGTATTCCTATTGCTGTGCAAAGCCTATATTACCTCATGGTGCAACCAGGACTCAGGGGTAGAGGTAACATAGTAAATGTAAATCCAGGACACACCAATTAGTATGATATGTTACATTTCATATGGTATGTATTAATTTGTGGATGTCCATCATCCATTTAATATGATATGTTACGAATTACAATTCGTACAATATGTTATGAATTTGCTAAACGTATGCTATGTTACGAATTCCGATTTGTTGTGGCTAACGTTAGCTAAGTGGCTGAAGTCGTCCGTATGCTTCCCATCCGGAACAGTTTGTGCATATATTATGACGACATTTTGTGAAGTTTTTGTTTGTTTTGGTCTGTGTTTTTTCGGCTGTTCGTGCACACAACAGTTTTTCTCGAGGCAAGCTTAAGTCTATGCCCCTTAGGCAGTGAGTTGTCAACAGTAGGGATCATTCAATGAGAGACAAATCATTTTCATGCAAATTTTTTCACTTGAGAAATACTGCACCAAACATCTGTCATGACTTCCGCTGAGGCTGCCTCCCCTCCTTGTTCGGGCAGGTTTCGGCATTCGGCGTCACCAGCTTACTAGCTACTGCCGATCCATTTATCATCACTCCATTTGTCTTGTCTTCAATCACACACACCTGGTCCTTATTCCCTCATTAGTCATGGTATAAGTGTTCCTTCTGCTTCCTTGTCTGTGTGGGTGATTGTTTATTGTGGAGTTTAGTGAAGCTCGGTGGAGCTCGTTGTGTTTCGACGGGAGTATTTTTCCCGTGTGCCTTGTATTTTCCAGTGCGCCTGTTTTGTGCCCTGGAGTGTGTTTGACGCATTTCTGCGTAAACCTGTTTTTTGTGGATTAAAGCCTGTTATTCTGTGATTTACCCTCCTGCGCCTGACTCCTTCATCACCACCTCATCTTAGATGTAAAATTGCGCGACTAAGATTTCCTCTGCAAAAACATCATCATTAATTACACACTTCTTGAGCTATCTTAGATGAATTCTGACTATTTTGAGATAGCTACGGCGTCTCAAGATGGACAAATAGTACTATTGCCGCTTTTTTCAAGCTAAGGTATTTTAAGCTATGTGCCAGCCGAACCAAAGCATGCTGACGCCTTAAGTGGCTAACGTTTGCTAGGCTGAGGGTTGAGGTTAGGTTAAGGGCAGGGTTAGCTAAGATGCTAAGTAAACTCAGCAAAAAAAGAAACTTAGTAAAAATCCAAATAACTTCACAGATCTTCATTGTAAAGGGTTTAAACACTGTTTCCCATGCTTGTTCAATGAAACAAACATTTAATGAACATGCACATGTGGAACGGTCGTTAAGACACTAACAGCTTACAGACGGTAGGCAATTAAGGTCACAGTTATGAAAATGTAGGACACTAAAGAGGCCTTTCTACTGACTCTGAAAAACACCAAAAGAAAGATGCCCAGGGTCCCTGCTCATCTGCGTGAACGTGCCTTAGGCATGCTGCAAATAAATTATCCGTACTGTGAGACGCCTAAGACAGCACTACAGGGAGACAGGACAGACAGCTGATCGTCCTCGCAGTGGCAGACCACGTGTAACAACGCCTGGACAGGATCGGAACATCACACCTGTGGGACAGGTACAGGATGGCAACAACAACTGCCCGAGTTACACCAAGAACGCACAATCCCTCCATCAGTGCTCAGACTGTCCGCAATAGGCTGAGAGAGGCTGGACTGAGGGCTTGTAGGCCTGTTGTAAGGCAGGTCCTCACCAGACATCACCGGCAACAACGTTGCCTATGGGCACAAACCCAACGTCGCTGGACCAGACAGGACTAGCAAAAAGTGCTCTTCACTGACGAGTCGCGGTTTTGTCTCACCAGGGGTGATGGTCGGATTCGCGTTTATCGTCAAAGGAATGAGCGTTACACTGAGGCCTGTACTCTGGAGCGGGATTGATTTGGAGGTGGAGGGTCTGTCATGGTCTGGGGCGGTGTGTCACAGCATCATCGGACTGAGCTTGTTGTCATTGCAAGCAATCTCAACGCTGTGCGTTACAGGGAAGACATCCTCCTCCCTCATGTGGTACCCTTCCTGCAGGCTCATCCTGACATGACCCTCCAGCATGACAATGCCACCAGCCATACTGCTCATTCTGTGCGTGATTTCCTGCAAGACAGGAATGTCAGTGTTCTGCCATGGCCAGCGAAGAGCCCGGATCTCAATCCCATTGAGCATGTCTGGGACCTGTTGGATCGGAGGGTGAGGGCTAGGGCCATTCCCCCCAGAAATGTCAGGGAACTTGCAGGTGCCTTGGTGGAAGAGTGGGGTAACATCTCACAGCAATAACTGGCAAATCTGGTGCAGTCCACGAGGAGGAGATGCACTGCAGTACTTAATGCAGCTGGTGGCCACACCAGATACTGACTGTTACTTTTGATTTTGACCCCCCCTTTGTTCAGGGACACATTATTCAATTTCTGTTAGTCACATGTCTGTGGAACTTGTTCAGTTTATGTCTCAGTTGTTGAATCTTGTTATGTTCATACAAATATTTACACGTTAAGTTTGCTGAAAATAAACACAGTTGACAGTGAGATGACATTTCTTTTTTTGCTGAGTTTAGGTGTAAAGTAGCTAAAAAGTAGTAAGTAGTGCAAAGTTGCTAATTAGCTAAATGCTAAAGTTGTCTGTGATGAGATTCGACCACGCAAACTTCGGGTTGCTAGATGTTCGCGACCAACCACCCTATAAGTAACCTTCTGTCTTATGTAACCATTCAAAACGTAACATATTATACAAATTTGAGTGCCCCAGATTTACATTTACTATGTTACGTCTAGTCTATGAGACCAGGCTGCATGTGTATGGTTCTCGGTATTTTGTATCGTCAACAGTCTTATGTTCATGTCCTATGAGTTTTGTACGAAAATGAGTTGCGGTCAAGTGTACTGTTCAATTTGACCGACAGGTGGTGCGCCATCGGCGACACGAATCCATAGACAACAAACTGAGCCATGCTAGCTAGCTAGCTAGCAGAGAAAAATAATAGCCATTGCTCAGGAATCAAATTGACCAACTCTACATTTAAGAGTGTGATAAAAAGCCAATTATACATGTAATAATTAATAAAGGTTCCAGCGAGACAATTTCAGAAACATCTGGATTATTTTGATGGTTGATTACAGTGTTTGAGTCAAACAACGAGGTAAGCTGTAAAATGGCGGATAAAATTTGGGGAGCTAACTGTGTTGCTAGTAATGTTGAATAAACTAGCAAGTTATTAGCTAAATGTAGCTAGGACAATCAATGTTAGCTGGATACAATAAGGAACTGGGATTTTTAGTAGCGGTTGTGTCGCAAAATAACTAGCTAGCAGTTAACTTAATCATCAAACCATATTGACGTTTCCATTGACTGTAACGTTATCTATTAACACGCTAGTAGTACTAGTTATTTAGCTAGCTAGTTCTTTCACGATGTGTGTAGCGACTTTGCCTGATTTAAGTCAGCATCGTTACCTAAATCGTCTTGCGATCACCATAACACATCATGCGAGTGTTTGTTTATAGTTAACCCGTCTCTTAGTTAACCATAAGATAGCCAGCTAACGTTAGCTAGCAACAGGAATGATAGCCAACTAACGTTAGCTGGCAAAGATGGAGGACGTCAAACATTGTTTACACGGAAGAGGATTGTACCCTATCAAGGATAGCTTGTTTTTGGAGTAACGTTAGCTATATTGAACATGTGTGCAGCTAACTGAATGACAAATAATTTTTCTTACATGTCGCTAGTTGCATAATTCTTGGTTTTGTTTAACTGTTTTACAGTTACATTGTCTGACAGCCGCAGAATGCATAGCTACGTTACCAGCTAGCCAACCTTCCATTCGCCGACATCAACCAATGAACAAAGATGGAGTAGTTTAAGAACGTCTGTAGCTGCCCTTACATGGAGTAGTCCTCAAAATGGAAGGAATGTTTTGTTTTGTTTGAAGCCGACAAGTTGCTAGTTAGCTCGTGATTCTCATTTGTAAAGAAGTTTGCTGACGCATCTTTCTGAATGGCCTAGCTATCTCGTAAATAATTGTTGTTGGCTTCATAACTGATGTTTCCCCATTTGTAAAGTCTGCTGTTGTCTTCTGGTTCTAGTGTCATGTTATTTACCCATCTAACAGTAGCTGGCTACACATGGAAGGTGTATTCATTAGTCTGTTGTCTGTTGCAAAACGTTTTGCAACGGAAACCGTTTACTATAGGAACCAAACGGACACAAACGAAAAGGAAAGGGACCTACCTGCATTTGTCCAGTAAAAACTCTCGTTTTCGTTGCAAAGCTTTTTCTGTTTGGTGTAAACAGTTTCCGTTGCAAAACGGTTAGCAACAGACCAAACGTTTTGCAACGGAATCCGACTAATGAATACACCTTTGACTTCAGCAGTCAATTTGTAAACTGCTGAGTGTGCAAACGGAATTGGTTATCCTCACTTCCTATTTATACTGTTAATCCATGTTACACATCAAGCTACACACACGTTATCAAGTTATACATAGGCATAATAACATCTTTGGACTACTTTTGTTCATTTGAAAGTTTGACCTTTCTTTTCATATGTTCTAGGTTGTATTACCCTACATTTTGGTGGATCCTGAGAAGTCCATACTTACTAGAGTGGGTCCAGAAAATGTTAAAGAAATGATAGCAGCACAAGAGTTGCACACAGAGTTTCAGTTTCCTCAGTAAGTATAACTGTGAAATGTGCAAATTGTATCACCTTCTTTTTTGCAAACCGTGAAGATGCAGAGGACATAGGCTTTGTATTGCATAGATAGACCTTCAAACTAGTTCTGTGTGTATTGTTGCAATTACCTTTTTTTGTTTTCTGAACAGAGAGGCTGATACACAGTTGTCCTCTGACACAGACCTTGAGGACCCTGATGTCAAGAATGCAAAGCTTGGGAAAGGAAAGGTGAGACTTGCATGTAAAATCCTCTATCAACACAAGGATTCCATAATAAAATGGATATGGTCACCTACTGCTTTACATTTGCGCACACACAATGTACACTAACACTTACATGGTATTCCTGTCTGTTGTAGGGTGGGAAGAAGGGGAAGAAAGCCCCTGGAGATAAGGGAAAGGGTGGTGCAGCGAAGTGTGTTGGCCTTGGCCGGGTGAATGGCCACCACCAGGAGAATGGGATGGAGAGCATGACCCTGTTCGAGGTGGTGAAAATGGGGAAGAGTGCCACACAGGTTGGTTCAAACTTTTTTAATTAGAAGGATAGGGTAATAAACTAGTCGTTCTCAATGCATGTTGGTGATAGTAGTATTTTCATATTAAAGTGATGGCTAATGGGTGTTTTTTCTTTTAGTCCATCGTTGATGACTGGATTGAGTCTTACAAGAATGATCGAGACATTGCTCTCCTGGACTTGATCAACTTTTTCATCCAGTGCTCAGGCTGTAAAGGTAGGCACCCAGAGTGGATTGAATAGAATTGTTGAATAGAATACTATCCGCTGTGAAGGACGTTTCTAAATCATTTTGCATCCATTACTTGTGATGATTGAACGAGCTAAGATTATTTGTTCTTTTTTGTTTTGCTACAGGTGCTGTCAGTGCAGAGATGTTCAGACACATGCAAAACTCTGAGATCATTAGGAAGATGACAGAGGAATTTGACGAGGTACTGTCTGATGGTACACTTACTGTACATTGTTATTTATGCCTCTCTGTCTATAGCGTATATTTTAACATTATTCCCATTTTCTTTCGCTCTGTTATCATATAGGACAGCGGGGACTACCCGTTAACCATGGCAGGGCCACTGTGGAAGAAGTTCAAGTCGAGCTTCTGTGAGTTTATCGGGGTGCTGGTGCGGCAGTGTCAGTACAGCATAATCTATGACGAGTACATGATGGACACAGTCATCTCGCTGCTCACGGGCCTGTCTGACTCGCAGGTCCGAGCCTTCAGACACACCAGCACACTGGCAGGTCAGTACTCCCACAATACAGACCCTGGGCAGTTGAGGGAAGTCTGTAGTTAAACCACTGTTAAACTACTAGCTTGATGTATGCATTGCCATCTTTTATGAGGGCTACACTGTGTCTATATGTAGGCCTATTGAATATAAGGCAGGTCTGCATAAATAGTGCCTTATTAATTAGTAGATGTCACTCAAGTGAGTCGTTGTCTCTACCAGCCATGAAATTGATGACAGCCTTGGTGAATGTGGCTCTGAACCTGAGCATCAACATGGACAACACTCAGAGGCAGTATGAGGCAGAGAGGAACAAGGTCATGGCCAAGAGGGCCAACGATAGGCTAGAGCTCCTGTTACAGAAGCGTAAAGAGGTGAGTGGGTTCTTCTCGTGTCTCTCAACCGTTTCTTCCTTACGGCTGTTGTATTGAGGGGTAAGAACTTGACCTGGTCCTAATAATTCTAACCTGACCATTTAGAAATTACATTTTTGAAAAGGAAAAGGTGCAGTGCTCACTCACCATTTAAAACATTATGTTATTTAAACAACTAAAAGCTTGACAACCAATTTCTAATGAAGGCCATCGATGAAGTCCGAAACGTCAGTCTTTTAATAGTTGTTTGAATAAAATAATATGTTTTTAATGGTGAGTGAGGGTTGCGCATTTTCCTTTTCCTTTTCAATTATCATTTAGTTTTTGGGTTGCACCTCGACTCGCGTTGGTTGTGCGCCCTCCACTTGTTTCCATTTAGAAATGTAAAAAGCATTTTCAATTTGAAATGTCTCCTCTTTTCAGCTTCAAGAAAATCAAGACGAAATTGAAAACATGATGAATGCAATTTTTAAAGGAGTGTTTGTTCACAGATATCGGTATGTATTGGAACTTGTCATCTTTCTACGTACAGAACAATGAATCCAATTACAACTGTAATGGATTATGTGTTATATTTTGAATTATGTACTGTTTTAGGGTGGATATTTTGAATGGTATTTTTGTAGTGGATTTTTAAAAGGGGTCTAAAAAGAGAACTGTGGGTGCATTCACTAGACGTCAGAGAGTTCGATCTCTGTGTGAAAACCAACTTCAGGTACTGACATTGCAGTGAGAGAGACTTCAGAGGCATTGAAGGCATATAGCATCTCTGAGATGTGCAGGCTGGTCTTTCACTGAGCTGTTCCAAGGCTCTGGGGCGCCATCTTGTGCTAAACAACAGGCAGCAACGGTTGCTGAGGCAGAACAGCTGTTCATGGCACACCATGTAGCACTGATATCTGATCTAAGTAGAACTGCCTCTGGCTGTACCACTTAAGTTTTTCTAATGAAATCAATATTTACTGCCCTACCATAAGATATCAAATCATTGATTTGATCATTGAGCGTAATGGGGGCTGTGAATAAGTCTGGACATTTCTTCTCTGTTTATCAGCGATGCCATAGCTGAAGTCCGGGCAATCTGCATTGAGGAGATTGGGGTATGGATGAAGATGTACAGCGATGCTTTTCTCAATGACAGTTATCTGAAGTATGTTGGATGGACCATGCATGACAAGGTGAGTCATGCAATATGTCAAATCACATTTGTGGGAGTTGTAAAGCATGTTGCGGGTAGTCTCTTTTATACAAGTAAGATTTACTGTGTGTTTAAACAGTAGGTATATTATCAGACTTGAAAGCTACAGCATTGAGGTTTGAACGTTGTGGTTTGAATATTGTCCTCCCTGTGACTGCAGCAAGGAGAAGTGCGTCTCAAGTGTCTGACTGCGCTCCAGGGCCTGTACTATAACCGGGAGCTCAACACTCGACTGGAGCTTTTCACCAGCCGCTTCAAGGTATGTCAGACGCTCCCCCATCTCACCACTGACTGGGAAATACTGTACATAACATACTCACATCATGGTTGGCCATGGTTGACTTTACTGTCATTGACAGGATCGCATTGTGTCGATGACTCTGGACAAGGAGTATGATGTTGCAGTGCAAGCCATAAAACTTCTGACTCTTGTCTTGCAGTAAGTAACCGTGTCTACAAAACATTTAAATAATTGCTCATCCTTCACAACGTTAGCAAACGTATTCGTGTCCAGTACTCCATGCACTCCTGACCCTTCGCTGACCCCGATGAGACCTTACAGCCCTGTGTGGTGTTGTCACCTTGCAGTAGCAGTGATGAGGTCCTGACAGCAGAGGACTGTGAAAGTGTCTACCATCTGGTCTACTCTGCCCATCGACCTGTGGCTGTGGCTGCAGGAGAGTTCCTCTATAAGAAGTAGGTATCACACCGGCTCTCTAAAGCTGTGGTGGAAGCTGAAAAATACTCTTATGTAATTGTTATTAAAGCCCTATTTGGGTTGGAAATGCCTTCAGGCTGAGAAACAGATTTTTTTGTTGTTGAATTATCCAGCAGCATTTAGCCTGACCTCAATGTTGCCGTGTCCATAGGCTCTTCAGCCATCGAGGTCCAGAGGAGGAGGGGATGCCCAGGAGGGGCAGGCAGAGCCTCAACGGAAACCTCATTAAGACCACCGTCTTCTTCTTCCTGGAGAGTGAGGTGTGTTCAGTCTCCATGAAGAGTCTGTCTCTGTTTGAAGTGACCTACTTGGGGCACAAATCAAAATCACATTTTAAATTGTGTTATGTTTCGTAAACAACATGTGTAGACTAACAGTGAAATGATTACTTATGGGCCCTTTTCCAACAATGCAGAGTTAAAGATAAAAAAAAAATAGCGATACAGTAGCGACACTAGGAATAAATACACAGTAAATAACAATAAAGAGTAAAAGTAACATGGCTATATACAGGGGTACAAGGTAATTGAAGTAGCTCTGTACATATAGGTAGGGGTAAAGTGACTATTGACGTGTTTCGGTTGTGATAACCTCTGAATGTTTGCAGCTCCATGAGCACGGGGCCTACCTGGTGGACAGCCTGTGGGAGTGTGCAGGGGAGCTGCTTAAAGACTGGGAGAGCATGATCAGCCTGCTGCTGGATGAGCCCATGCCAGGGGAGGAGGGTAAGGAGCAGCACCACACACACACACACACACTGTTACTGGAACTGTCATGTCTCAACATGTTTTCCCCTGTCCTGTCCAGCCCTGACAGACCACCAGGAGACTGCCCTGATCGAGATCATGCTGTGTGCCATCCGCCAGGCCTGTGAGTGCCACCCACCAGTGGGCAGAGGCACTGGGAAGAGGGTGAGTGCTGCTTGGCATATTCCAATGTAAGCCCCTCAGCGGTCAACTCCAGTACTAGTGAGCTCTTAAGGCTTTATGCTCAGAAGACATGTTTGAACATTCACTCAGATATCTGAGGTTTGATAAAAAACCTTTCATATAACATGATTGTAATGTGAGTTCAGGTGGGCCTTTGCGCTTTAGCAAATAAAGGAAAGGAGGGGTGCTCAATGACAAAAATCACGAGAATGGCTTACCAAGAAAACGTCCAAAAGGACTCATTTGAGGTAAAAAGGAGTTGGAGCACTCAGCACTCAACAATTAATCCATTGTACAGGATGCTAACAGGTGACTGACATTTCTGCCTTTTTTTGTTGATTTCTCCAACTCCTTTTTACCTAAGATTAGTCCTTTTGGAAGTTTTTCTAGGTTAGCCATTCTCATGATTGTGATGTGATTGTGCTCTTCTGAAAATCCTCCTAGGTCCTGACAGCGAAAGAAAAGAAAACCCAGCTGGATGACCGGACGAGAATCACTGAGATCTTTGCTGTGGCGTTGCCTCTGTTGTTGGCCAAGGTCAGTTATCAATTTGTGTACATGACTGTCACTTTACAGTCTATACATGGCTGCTATATTTAACTCAACCCCTGGGACTGCCAGATAGATGCAGGATTACTCAACGCTAGGTCTCTTGTTGTAGCTCCCCTCACCCTCTCCATCTTCCCCTCACAGTACTCCGTTGATGCTGAGAAGGTGACCAACTTACTGCAGCTACCGCAGTTCTTTGACCTGGAAATCTACACCACTGGTCGATTGGAAAAGGTTTGTGAATCATCTGATATTCCTGGACCGCAACTAATCCTACCGTACCTTAGATTGTTAACAGTAAGTTATTCACGCGGCCATTGTGGCAGAATGTAGTTTGAGACCTCGCATCCCTTTGTGTGCAGCACTTAGAGTCGTTGCTGCGTCAGATCAGGGAGGTGGTGGAGAAGCACACAGAGACTGACGTGCTGGAGGCGTGCTCCATGACCTACCACGCTCTCTGCAACGAGGAGTTTACCATCTTCAACAGGGTGGACATCGCCAGGTCCCAGCTACTGGACGAGCTGGTGGACAAGTTCAACAGACTCCTGGAGGACTTCCTGCTGGAGGTGGGCTCAGATGCATAGAGATACAGTGGGGAGAACAAGTATTTGATACACTGCCGATTTTGCAGGTTTTCCTACTTACAAAGCATGTAGAGGTCTGTAATTTTTAGGTACACTTCAACTGTGAGAGACGGAATCTAAAACCAAAATCCAGAAAATCACATTGTATGATTTTAAGTAATTCATTTGCAGTTTATTGCATGACATAAGTATTTGATACATCAGAAAAGCAGAACTTAATATTTGGTACAGAAACCTTTGTTTGCAATTACAGAGATCATACGTTTCCTGTAGGTCTTGACCAGGTTTGCACACACTGCAGCAGGGATTTTGGCCCACTCCTCCATATAGACCTTCTCCAGATCCTTCAGGTTTCGGGGCTGTCGCTGGGCAATTCGGACTTTCAGCTCCCTCCAAAGATGTTCTATTGGGTTCAGGTCTGGAGACTGGCTAGGCCACTCCAGGACCTTGAGATGCTTCTTACGGAGCCACTCCTTAGTTGCCCTGGCTTTGTGTTTCGGGTCGTTGTCTTGCTGGAAGACCCAGCCACGACCCATCTTCAATGCTCTTACTCAGGGAAGGAGGTTGTTGGCCAAGATCTCGCGATACATGGCCCCATCCATCCTCCCCTCAATAAGGTGCAGTCGTCCTATCCCCTTTGCAGAAAAGCATCCCCAAAGAATGATGTTTCCACCTCCATGCTTCACGGTTGGGATGGTGTTCTTGGGGTTGTACTCATCCTTCTTCTTCCTCCAAACACGGCGAGTGGAGTTTAGACCAAAAAGCTCTATTTTTGTCTCATCAGACCACATGACCTTCTCCCATTCCTCCTCTGGATCATCCAGATGGTCATTGGCAAACTTCAGACGGGCCTGGACATGCGCTGGCTTGAGCAGGGGGACCTTGCGTGCGCTGCAGGATTTTAATCCATGACGGCGTAGTGTGTTACTAATGGTTTTCTTTGGTCATTGACCAGGTCCTGCCGTGTAGTTCTGGGCTGGTCCCTCAACTTCCTCATGATCATTGATGCCCCACGAGGTGAGATCTTGCATGGAGCCCCAGACCGAGGGTGATTGACCGTCATCTTGAACTTCTTCCATTTTCTAATAATTGCGCCAACAGTTGTTGCCTTCTCACCAAGCTGCTTGCCTATTGTCCTGTAGCCCATCCCAGACTTGTGCAGGTCTACAATTTTATCCCTGATGTCCTTACACAGCTCTCTGGTCTTGGCCATTGTGGAGAGGTTGGAGTCTGTTTGATTGAGTGTGTGGACAGGTGTCTTTTATACAGGTAACGAGTTCAAACAGGTGCAGTTAATACAGGTAATGAGTGGAGAACAGGAGGGCTTCTTAAAGAAAAACTAACAGGTCTGTGAGAGTGCCGGAATTCTTACTGGTTGGTAGGTGATCAAATACTTATGTCATGCAATAAAATGCAAATTAATTACTTAAAAATCATACAATGTGATTTTCTGGATTTTTGTTTTAGATTTCGTCTCTCACAGTTGAAGTGTACCTATGATAAAAAAGTACAGACCTCTACATGCTTTGTAAGTAGGAAAACCTGCAAAATCGGCAGTGTATCAAATACTTGTTCTCCCCACTGTACATAAAATGTCAATTGTATTCTATTTAATTCTATGTTCAGCTGGCTGAGTGTCTCAGAGACTGAGCAATCTGTCAGATTGAGAACTTCTATGGCAGATTTGGCAATGCATAAGGACATTACCTATCTTTAATCTTTGTAGATTATTTGTCAAAGAAAAATAAGTATTCTAGGGTAGTACTCAGATTGGTGTTAATTGAAACTGGGACCGTAAATTGAGTGACACGTGGCTGTGTAGGATTTCACGAGCTAGTTATCTGTTGTTTCAGGGTGAGGAACCAGATGAGGATGATGCCTACCAGGTCCTGTCCACACTAAAGAGGATCACTGCTTTCCACAAGTAAGGCCATGAGCAATATTAAACAAGTAATGTGTAATCCAAGCATTTACCAATGAACGGTAGATAAATCATAACTCCTTATCTGACTAGATTCTGTGTTTCTCCTGTGCAGTGCACATGACCTCTCTAAATGGGACCTGTTCACCAGCAACTATAAGCTACTAAACACAGGACTTCAGAATGGCGATATGCCTGAGCAGGTACCTAAACCATAACCCTGTTATCCCCTCGAACCCACCTACCCCAGAAATGTTTCACATTCATCTCCACTGTTTACTATCACTTACCTTGTAATACTCTATTTTTCCCAGATTGTAATTCATGCGATGCAGTGCACACACTACATCATTCTGTGGCACCTAGCCAAGGTCTCCGATGGCAGCTCTACAAAGGTACACACACTGTTGTTTTCAGTGACTAATGACTATCCAGTGTCTACCAATGTTTGTGACTATACACCCCTGGGTGTCTGGATAATGAATGTGGTTTACTGAGTAAATAGTGAGTACTGAATACTGAGAAAATCTGTTGGTTTCCAGGGGGACATGGTCACCCTGAGGAAGCAGATGAGGGCCTTCTGTCTGATGTGTCAACGCTACCTCACCAGTGTCAACACCACTGTCAAAGAGCAGGTGGGTTGTCCTACGTCATGTCAGTCTGTTCCCTAACTGTGTAGGTGTGTGTTCACTGTTAAGTGAGTGCTGAGGGGTTGCTGCTCTGTTGTGTAGGCTGGATTACTGTAAAGCACTGTGTGACAACTGTTGACATGTACGGGTGTTATGTGATTGATTTGATTGATTGATTGATTGACTGTGTTCCAGGCCTTCACCATCCTGTGTGATGCCCTGATGATCTTCAGCCACCAGATCGTGTCATCGGGCCGGGAGCAGCTGGAGGCTCTGATCTACACGCCAGACTCCTCCCTGCAGGCCGAGCTGCTCAACTTCATCCTGGACCACGTCTTTATCGACCAAGACGATGACAACAACAGCACAGGTCAGACACAGCCCACTGGAAGACAGTCACAACACAGGCCAGACAGACCCCCCTCACACAGCACAGGCCAGACATCCACACAGCCCACCTGGCAGCTAGTCACAACACAAGGAGACAGCTGAGAATGGCTTTTAATGTGAATAGTGCACACACAAGTTAAAACACCAGAGCTGTTTCTGAGTTGAAGCGAACACCTTATATGGAGACAGGAATGGTGAAGTTTTACAAGGGGTTACCTCAGTGTTCTTAATTTTATCAGATGGGCAGCAAGATGATGAAGCGAGTAAAATCGAGGCCTTACACAAGAGGCGTAACCTGCTGGCAGCGTACTGCAAACTGATCATTTACAATGTGGTGGAGATGAACACTGGAGCTGATATCTTCAAGCAGTACATGAGGGTATGTCTGGCCTCCTGCCATATTTAGACCTTTAAAAGAAAACATTCCTGTTCTGCCAATCAATTAAATGTGTGTTTTTCTCTCTAGTACTACAACGACTATGGAGATATCATCAAGGAAACGATGAGTAAAACAAGACAAATTGACAAGATCCAGTGTGCCAAGACCCTCATACTGAGTTTGCAGCAGGTAGGAGCTTTGGAGAAATTAACATTCAATTAAAGTATTGTCTTCATTTTGTAACAATGTGAGTGTTTTGATGATCGTTTTAAAAGTTGCAACACTTTTTTCTATTTTTAGCTTTTCAATGAGATGTTATCTGACCTCGGCTGCAACTTTGACCGCTCGTCGTCGTCCTTCTGCGGCATTAAAGAACTGGCCCGACGTTTCTCGTTGACCTTTGGCCTGGATCAGCTGAAGACCAGAGAGGCTATCGCCATGTTACACAAGTAAGCCTGCAGCAAATCTGAGTAGAAATCAGTAAGTAAAGGTTTAACAGCTCTGCAGGCATGCTTCTATTTGAGGCTTCTCAACCTCCCAGAACTGTTAAAGTATTTACAGCTTCAATCCATTCCTTCCTAAACATTTTATCTTGTGCTGCACTTGCTGCAGGGATGGAATCGAGTTTGCCTTCAAGGAGCCCAGTCCCCAGGGAGAGGGAAACCCTCCTCTCAACCTTGCCTTCCTGGACATTCTCAGCGAGTTCTCCTCCAAACTTCTCCGTCAGGACAAGAAGACAGTGTACGTCAGAGGAAACTGTTATATTTAGTCCTCTGTAGCTATGTGGTCCTCTGTAGCTCAGCTGGTAGAGCACGGCGCTTGTAACGCCAAGGTAGTGGGTTCGATCCCCGGGACCACCCATACACAAAAATGTATGCACGCATGACTGTAAGTCGCTTTGGATAAAAGCGTCTGCTAAATGGCATATTATTATTATTATTATTATTAGTCCTATGTGCAGTCAATCATTAGTGACTGTATTCTCCTAAGCCAGACAGACCACAGTGACACTAGATCATGGATGTTGACTTGTGGTCCTCTGTCCCCTGCAGTCACCTCTACCTGGAGCGGTTCATGACCTTCCAGATGGCCCTGCAGCGAGAGGACTGCTGGCTGCCCCTCATCTCCTACAGGAACTCCCTGCAGGCCGGAGGGGACGACGACACCATGTCTGTTATCAGCGGCTACAGCAGCCGAGGTTCCAGCATCAGGAGCAAGAAGGCCAAGCCAGCCAGCACCGGAAAGAGGAAACTGCCTGAAGGTGAGGGGCAGACACAGAGCCATAGAACAGCATGGGCAACATACTGTGACTCACTGGCGTTAAACCTGAAAGCTCAGTGTTTAGTGTTATGATATACACTGAGTGTACAAAACATTACGAACACCTTCCTAATATTGAGTTGCACCCCCTTTTGCCCTCAGAACAGACTCAATTCATCGGAGCATGGACTAGAAGGTGTTGAAAGTGTTCTACAGGGCTGCTGGCCCATGTTAACTCCAACGCTTCCCACAGTTGTGACAAGTTGGCTGGATGTCCTTTGGGTGGTGGACCATTCTTGATACACACGGGAAACTGTTGAGCGTGAAAAACCCAGCAGAGTTGCAGTTCTTGACACAGTCCGGTGCGCATGGCACCTACTACCATACCCTGTTCAAAGGCACTTAAATATTTTGTCTTGCCCATTCACCCTCTGAATGGCACACATACACAATCCATGTCTCAATTGTCTCAAATCTTAAAAATCCTTATTTTACCAGTCTCCTCCCCTTCATCTACACTGATTTTAAGTATATTTAACAGGTGATATCAATAAGGGATCATAGCTTTCACCTGGATTCACCTGATCAGTCTAGGTAATGGAAAGAGCAGGTGTTCCTAATGTTTTGTACACTCAGTGTACACAACTAATTGTGTTCCAGAATCTGTCACCTGCAGCTCAATGTCAGATCATTGAGCTGGGCCAAATATGCTGAAAGCCCATACAAGCAATAAAATAAATGTTGCCAAATGTACAATTAGATTTTCACTTGGGGAAATAACTTGCTGAATGAAGATTATACCTTAATGAATTGAGTGTTTGCTAGATGTTATCTGATGTTGGCATTATAAAAAGCCAATACGCTAAGATGTCTACCTGAGCACTGAGTAGTCGGCTCACTGTATAACAACCCCATTAAACCCTTGCTATTGCAGCAGAGGAGAGTAGCAGCTGCAGCACAGATGCGGTGTGGATGAACCAGGAGCAGAACGTACAGACGCCAGTGATGATGCCCTCGCCACATCTCACCTCCACTGTGCTGAGGGACCCCAAGAAAATGAGGCCAGAGGAGAGCTACATGGGTATCTACGCTATGACATCAGAGCAGCAGCAGCACCAACAGCTGCCCCCCCAGCAGCATCACCATCAGATCCCCATGGACTACAAGTACAGAACACCTTTCTATGGCTCAACACCTTTTGATTTTCATGAGTATCTTTAGCCATCCATTGTAGGGTGGCAGGTAGCTTAGTGGTTAAGAGCGTTGGGCCAGTAACCGAAAAGTTGCTGGTTTGAATCCCCGAGCCGACTAGGTGAAAAATCTGTCTGTGCACTTGAGCATGGCACTTAACCCTAATTGCTCCTGTAAGTTGCTCTGGATAGGAGCGTCTGCTAAATGACTAAAACGTCAAATGTAATGTTACTTAGCTACGTATGCAATGTTATCACAATGAATTATATCTTCAATGAAACCACGGTAGTTCGCCTCTTGTTTGAATAAGTATGACTGTCTGTATTAATGTGTCTGACTCTGTTTTCAGTACCCAGGTGACCTGGATGCTAGCCCAGAGACAGCAGGCAGAGGCCCGGCAGCAGCAGGAGCGGGCCAGCATGCAGTACGCCAAGATGAGGAGCCACATGCAGAACTCAATGTAAGACGGCACTTCTCTTCCAGACCACAGTGGTGTTTCAACCCCAGTGTAGTACATACAGTCATTTGCTGCCATGTGTGTAATGTATATAGTAATTTGTGGCCATGTCTTTGACCATCTAGCCGCCGCGGTTCAGGACTCATGGAGGACGATGAGGAGCCAATAGTAGAGGATGTAATGATGTCGTCAGAGGACCGTTTGGAAGATCTCAATGAGGGCATGGATTTCGACACTATGGATATTGATCTGGTAAAATACACTCATAAAGATGTAGTAGTGCATTTATGAATATTACTGCCTTGGTGTCTCTTCTTTCTTACTTTGCTGTTTATTGTTTAGCCACCATCGAAAAATCGCAGAGAGAGATCAGAGCTGAAGCCAGACTACTTTGATCCTTCTTCCATCATGGATGATTCGGTGGGTATTGGTTTGTTATTGAGAGTACAGTGATATCTACATTGTTAAAGATAACGTACAACAAACGATATGATCAACAATAACAGTGGCAGTGCCGATGTGAAGTCCAGATACCTAGTTAATGTCTTTGGTATGCATACGGAAAGGCTATACTCATATTCTCTCATTCTTTTCCATATTATACAGCAAGTAACTAAACATTTAAATTGAGTATTTTCTTCCTTTTTAGGTCCTCAATGTTTCAATGTTCTAAGTTGATTATGGTACATCTGCGTGAAGAGGACACTGTTGTTACCGAAAATGTTTTGATGACGAGAAGTATTCTCTGTAGAGAATTGTTTTAAAATAAGCTCATGGGACTATTTGCTTGTGAGGCAGCAATGGTTGAATTTCACCTTTATTTTGTCAATCAATGGGCAGGTTTTTGTCTCATGTAAATACATAGTTGCTGACATACTTTTAAAATATAAAATCTGGCATGACATGTAGCCATATATTAAAACATATATACATTAGGAGAAAATGTGAAATGTCTTCATATTGTTGGAAGGCCTTACCGCAAATATGAAACACAGGCTTCTCAGAATTCTCTCTGTCATATTATTTTTTTAGAGGTTTGTCTGTCCTGCTTTTATAACTTATAGAATACTTTGATTTATAGATATTTTGTAATGACAATCAGATGTAAATTAGTACTTTATAATCATGTTATTACTCATAGAGAGTACAGAAATTAACCTTTTAATGGAATTTCTGGTGTGTAATAATGGATGTGGCCTGCAGTTTTTATTTTTTCCAATGTAATAGGTGAGACCTCTTGGAGAACTAATAATTCCCAAATGCCATTTGACCCATTGACAAGCTTAGTTTAAATTCTGAATCACTTTGAAAGGTTTGATGATTTTGAATGCTGTGTGGCTTTTGAAGAGTGGTACAAAAGTATACTGTGCAGAGGGTTTGCATAAAAGAGTGGTCAAAATATTCTCTGTTGTACCACTGTGTTGTGTCTGTAAGAGAGCTTGTTATAGAATGTTTCTAAAATACCACATGTAAGAGTTTGGGTTAGCTATCACGGTATCATAATATATTATTATTATATATAATGAAATATATAATTGTATATTATACAATTATAGAAATGTGTAATATATTGTGAATCGGTGCTCATTTTATATTTGCTCAGTTTTAGTTAATTTGAAGTCTAATTTAGGAAAAGGTTAAATAGAATGTAAAGTGGTTTAAATTAACCTCCTAACTAATGTGCAGTTATGCATAAGAATTTACCTTTGAATTTGTATTTAAATGGTAAATGTTTTGTTTGTCTTTTCTAAGGATTCTTGTTTGAATAACTTTTCTTTACCTCTATGTACTTTTAGATTGGTTTCCAGATTCCCAACAAGCTTTTCTGGAGGAGTAAAATTGTAATCATTAATATTGTAAATGATAGTTTTATACAGCCACAACAGCTTAAAACACCGCCTCTCCATTTTCAAAAGCAAAAATGTTATATCAAAATCTAAATACAAAAACACAAACCTGAGAATTTAATATTTTTCATTATTTACATTGAAGCAATGTTAGACAAATTTAAAAAATCATTTGAATGCATAGTTCTTTTGTTTTATGTAGGCTTCATACTGTCCTTTTGATATTTACCTTTCTGTTGTCCTTGCATTGAACTGCTGAAAGTGTGTGCATACGTCTATATGTGTATGTATACACACATACATATATATATTCAAATGTATATAAATGTGTTTTTTATTCTATTTACAAAGTCCACTGTACCATTTATGGTTTGTATTTATGTCTGGAGACCAGTAACTTTTTGAACAAAATAAACCCCCTGCAATTGTGTGTTGATTTGAATTAAGTGTTACCAGTTTTTAGTAGGCCTATTACACCTAAATGAAATGTCTGCGGGACAGAGTGCAGTATAGTCACTGGTTGTCAGGGGTTGCTACACTGGTGGCATTACTGGGATGGTGATCATGTAGACCTCTAAGGGATGAATATGGGTCTTTTTAAAGAATAATGAAGCCACTGTTACAATAATGGGGTTGTGGATCATATGTGTTGTGATAATTCTACATATGCACAAACGCGCACACACACATCATCCTAAGAGACAGGCAATGGGATAAGTTGACAAGTGGGTCAACTGGATTTTATCTTTAAATGTTTTGTGCTCACCTCTGCCATGAATTTGCGGGAATACTGTTCATAAACTGAAATTTAGAGGCTCCCAGCATCACATAACCATCATGTACTCAACACATGCTCTGAAGACTTGAAGTGATAGAGAAGCCTAAAACCCAGTGGAGCTGTACAGCATAATTTATTATCCTTACACTAATCTACATAAAATCGTACATGTTAATTATTGTAGCATTGTAATTTTAGGCTTCCAACGTTTATTTGTGGTTCAACTGACTGGAAGACTTCAAATTGACTCAGCGTCCCACGATGCACTAGCTACCATTAATGTGCATTCAGTTAAACATCCGGGCTATGTGTGGTATTGTGGGGAAGATGGCGACACGTATTATCCCTGCTGATTGGATCAAAAACTGGGAAAAATCTGGAAAACATGAGTTGTAAGTTGTATTATATTGTTAAATTGTGAAGACGAATGTCTTGGTATTTAGTTTTCCATTATGGTTGTTGAGCCATGCAACCGGTTCCCATCGTTGACCTGTACAAGACCCGGGCAAACTCGCGATGTGAATTAGCCAACCTAGCGTGCTAACTATTTCTTAATAGCAAGATAAAGTTGGCTACAGTTCAATAATGTTGTTTGAAGTAATAATTTGGTACAGCACTTGTACAATCCCTGTACTGCAACACTGGCCCAGGCCATTAGATGCTAACTAGCTAGCTAAATAACTTTTGAGTCCCGTCTGTCCTCCGAGGCAGCTAGCTAGTTAGCTTAGCGCTGAAAGCCAATGGACTAGCTAACTAGTCAGCTATTGATGCATGCTAGCCTGATGGTTGACACTGTGCGTTCTAACTAGTAGCTACCCACTGTAGTTCGATAACTAGCTACCTATATACCTATTTGGCAAGGTAACTTCGTGAACATTGAGTTAGCTAACTAATAATAGCGTTGCATGCATGTGCATCACAACATGCGGTTTGCGCTCACATACACTACATGGCCAAAAGTATGTGGACATCCCTTAATTTGTCGATTCGGCTGTTTCAGCCACACCCGTTGCTGACAGAGGTATACATTTGAGCACACGGCCATGCAATCTCCATAGACAAACATTGCCAGTAGAATGGCTTTACTGAACAGCTCAGTGACTTTAAACTTGGCACCATCATAGGATGCCACCTTTCCAACAAGTCAGTTTGTCAAATTTCTGCCCTGCTAGAGCTGCTCTTCAGCGGGAGAGTTCTAGGAGCAACAACGGCTCAGCCGCGAAGTGGTAGGCCACACAAGCTCACAGGACGGGACCGCTGAAGTGCGTAGCGCATAAAAATGTGTCTGTCCTCAGTTGCAAAACTCATTACCGAGTTCCAAACTGCCTCTGTTCGTCGGGAGCTTCATGAAATGGGTTTCCATGGCCGAGCAGCCGCACACAAGCCTAAGATCACCATGCGCAATGCCAAGCGTCGGCTGGAGTGGTGTAAAGCTCGCCGCCATTGGACTCTGGAGTACTGGAAACGCGTTCTCTGGAGTGATGAGTCACGCTTCACCGTCTGACAGATGAATCTGGGTTTGGCGGATGCCAGGAGAACGCTACCTGCCTAAATGCATAGTGCCAACTGTAAAGTTTGGTGGAGGAGGAATAATGGTCTGGGGCTGTTTTCCATGGTTCGGGCTAGGCCCCTTAGTTCCAGTGAAGGGAGATCTTAATGCTACAGCATATAATGACATTCTAGATGATTCTGTGCTTCCAACTTTGTGGCAACAGCTTGGGAAGGCCCTTTCCTGTTTCAGCATGACAATGCCCGCTCAGCCCAGTCAAAACTGTTCGCTGCTCTGGCACCCCAATGGTGGAACAAGCCCCCTCACGACGCCAGGACAGCGGAGTCACTCACCACCTTCCGGAGACACTTGAAACCCCACCTCTTTAAGGAATACCTGGGAAAGGATAAAGTAATCCTTCTACCCCCCCTTACCCCACCCCCCCAAAAAATTAAATAATAATAATAATATATATATTGTAAAGTGGTTGTCCCACTGGCTATCATAAGGTGAATGCACCAATTTGTAAGTCGCTCTGGATAAGAGCGTCTGCTAAATGACTAAAATGTAAATGCACAAAGCGAGGTCCATATAGAAATGTGGAAGAACTTGACTGCCCTGCACAGAGCCCTGACTTGATTTGGGATGAATTGGAACGCAGACTGCGTGCCTGACCTCACTAATGTTCTTGTGGCTGAATGGAAGCAATACCCCGCAGCAATGTTCCAACATCTAGTGGAAAGCCTTCCCGAAAGAGTGGCGGCTGTTATAGCAGCAAAGGGGGGACCAACTCCATATTAATGGCCATGATTTTGGAATGAGATGTTCGACAAGCACTGTCCACATACTTTTGGCCATGTAGTGTAGCTAATTAGCTAGCTAGCGTACCTAGCAAGCTAATGGCACCACAACTTGACTCTTGCTACACGAAAACATTAGCTAGGTAGTTAACGTTAGCCACTTTGTCTATAATAGCCACACACAACCTGTATTATCATAAGTTGTATTTTTACCTAATGCATGGTTCCCAGGCAGCTATCACTGTCTAGACATTTTCTATAATGGTCATTATTAGGGTACAGTGGGGAAAAAAAGTATTTAGTCAGCCACCAATTGTGCAAGTTCTCCCACTTAAAAAGATGAGAGAGGCCTGTAATTTTCATCATAGGTACACGTCAACTATGACAGACAAATTGAGAAAAAAAATCCAGAAAATCACATTGTAGGATTTTTAATGAATTTATTTGCAAATTATGGCGGAAAATAAGTATTTGGTCACCTACAAACAAGCAAGATTTCTGGCTCTCACAGACCTGTAACTTCTTCTTTAAGAGGCTCCTCTGTCCTCCACTCTTTACCTGTATTAATGGCACCTGTTTGAACTTGTTATCAGTATAAAAGACACCTGTCCACAACCTCAAACAGTCACACTCCAAACTCCACAATGGCCAAGACCAAAGAGCTGTCAAAGGACACCAGAAACAAAATTGTAGACCTGCACCAGGCTGGGAAGACTGAATCTGCAATAGGTAGGCAGCTTGGTTTGAAGAAATCAACTGTGGGAGCAATTATTAGGAAATGGAAGACATACAAGACCACTGATAATCTCCCTCCATCTGGGGCTCCACGCAAGATCTCACGGTGAGCAAAAATCCCAGAACCACACGGGGGGACCTAGTGAATGACCTGCAGAGAGCTGGGACCAAAGTAACAAAGCCTACCATCAGTAACACACTACGCCGCCAGGGACTCAAATCCTGCAGTGCCAGACATGTCCCCCTGCTTAAGCCAGTACATATCCAGGCCCATCTGAAGTTTGCTAGAGTGCATTTGGATGATCCAGAAGAGGATTGGGAGAATGTCAGATGAAACCAAAATATAACGTTTTGGTAAAAACTCAACTCGTCGTGTTTGGAGGACAAAGAATGCTGAGTTGCATCCAAAGAACACCATACCTACTGTGAAGCATGGGGGTGGAAACATCATGCTTTGGGGCTGTTTTTCTGCAAAGGGACCAGGACGACTGATCCGTGTAAAGGAAAGAATGAATGGGGCCATGTATCGTGAGATTTTGAGTGAAAACCTCCTTCCATCAGCAAGGGCATTGAAGGTGAAACGTGGCTGGGTCTTTCAGCATGACAATGATCCCAAACACACCGCCCGGGCAACGAAGGAGTGGCTTCGTAAGAAGCATTTCAAGGTCCTGGAGTGGCCTAGCCAGTCTCCAGATCTCAACCCCATAGAAAATCTTTGGAGGGAGTTGAAAGTCCGTGTTGCCCAGCGACAGCCCCAAAACATCACTGCTCTAGAGGAGATCTGCATGGAGGAATGGGCCAAAATACCAGCAACAGTGTGTGAAAACCTTGTGAAGACTTACAGAAAACGTTTGACCTGTGTCATTGCCAACAAAGGGTATATAACAAAGTATTGAGAAACTTTTGTTATTGACCAAATACTTATTTTCCACCATAATTTGCAAATAAATTCATTAAAAATCCTACAATGTGATTTTCTGGATATCTTTTCCACATTTTGTCTGTCATAGTTGACGTGTACCTATGATGAAAATTACAGGCCTCTCTCATCTTTTTAAGTGGGAGAACTTGCACAATTGGTGGCTGACTAAATACTTTTTTCCCCCACTGTAGCTAACTAGTCCCTAACTAGCCAGCTAGTATTAAAGTTAGCTAGCTAGAATTGAAAACATGTCGTCGACTGAATTTGGTAGTATGGGGGCGATTTCCGCTGTTTTAATAATTGCCAACAGTTTGCATTGATAAGAATTTTGTCATCAAGCTCTCTAGTAACTGGACATTACAGTTTTGGACTATGTTTTAAAGTGTCATAGCAAAAATGCTTAAAATGGTGTACTCAAACAAAAAGTTAGTGTTAAAATTGGGGGCTGACATCAGGCTGATTTTGCATGTCTGCAACACATACTGTACAAATTATTTACACATACTACTGCACACTAACTGTTCTATGATCATTTAGATAACTATTTATTAGTCACTGAAAATAAACTAGATAATATGTAGTAAATAATCACCTTTCCCCTCCTTTTCAGTGTACAACTATGTAAGAATCTTGCAGACAAAACAAATCATGACAGCACAATAAAAGGTAAGCTCAAAAATGAAAGTACACATCTGTGCTCCTTGAAAGAACAGTATGCATGTTAGTTTTGCAACAATTTAGTCTTTGTAACAATCAATGATAGGGTCTCGCTATGTCAGGTGTCATCTAATGTTCATATAGCATCATAGTGAACTTACGCCTCAACAGCTCTTCAGTTGTCTGTTTGTGAGAAGGGGGTTATACTGATACATTGTATTGATAGTAATTATCTGCCTGTTTGCCTCTTTTATTCATTCTCTAGATATACAGGCTGCTTTGTACGAACTCTGCTGGCATGTCATTCAGGGGAACTTCAAGCTGGACCTTGCTGCTAGCGTCCTATGTGACATGATGGTATGTATGGCCCTGTTGAAGTCCTCTCATTCTCTACAATGTCTGTCATCCCAGAAAATCTGCCATGCGTTAGTTAGTGCATTAACAAAATTAGGGTTTTGTGTCATATAGGAGAGTCCTTTTAGTGAAAACATTGACTAGTGCAGTATCTGCCATTGAGGAGTGACGTGTATTTAGTTCTTGATTTGTGGTTATTAATCGAAGGAGGTTCATTTAGCAGGTGTTCAAGTTGATAGAGTATTTAATGTGATAACTCAATGAATCCACAAGTTTTTCCTGTGTTCCCTGGAATGTGGGATTTTTGTAATGTTACCAATAGAGGCACAGACGCTATGATTAGGAAGGTACACTTGCAGCTGCGCCATAATAAAACGGTCCTCTCTTCTGCCGACCAGCCAATTCATTATTAGTTCAGTTCAGACTGAAACCGTGTGCTTTGCTTGTAAAGAAAGCTAAACACCGCTTCTGGAACTTCTGTATCAGCAAACAAATTTCATTAAGAATGTACCTTTTGAATGCTTCTGATTTCTTGTTTATTTCCAGGAACTGCGGGATGACATGCCATCCATTTTAGCAGATGTTTTCAGTATACTAGGTGGGTATGACTTCAGTTTGGGCATATTGTGACAGTCATTTGCAATTGGTTGCCTAAATGTCAAAAAATGTGTTGCTGAATTACAGTCATAATATTGTAATGTTTTAATCATTATTTTGACAGACATAGAGACCAGTTCTTTAGAGGAAAAAAACAAACGAGACCGTTACACCCAGCTAGTGGGAGCCTGTCTGGTAAGTGTATTTCAAGTTTTTATTGCGAAGAGCAAAAATACATTCTCATGAAATGATGTCAAACTTTCACTAGGTGGCAGTATTGATCATAGAAAACTCAGCCTTTTTCTGTTCTATTTCCTACTGTAAGGCAAAACACACATTATTTGAGTTTCAAGCTTGAATACGAACAAACGTTTTTTTAAATACTATTGGCTCTGAATTTACAATATTATATTAACGTTTGATTCTCTTCAGAAATGTTACATTTGCTATCGTTCATAACCAGGGGTGAAAGTAAGTAGGTCCGGTACCGTGTCCCGGCAAAATAAGTAGTGGGGCTACATCGTACCGGTAAAACGTGAGCCTATCACAATTAACACAAAATGCCAAAAAACGATAGGGTTTTACATCATTATTTAACATTACTGCATGTCAGCCGCATGACATTTTTTTGAATTTACTTGAAACCGGGTGGTATACGCTCCAAATTGTGCTGTCGTTCAACAAGAACACTTACGTTTTGCCAAGGCAGAGATGAGTGGCCGAGACGGACAAGACGGAAATGAGTGGCTGAGACAGTCACTTGCGGACAACTGTGGACTCATCAATTCAGGCTACACGTGTAGGCCTAATGACAATCACAGAATGTCATTACAATACACGTAGGTGTTTTGTAACAGATGTCTCTTTCCATTCGTCAAATTGCGGGTGTATAGTGCACTGTCGGGGTTTGGATGCTGGAATTATTTTGTGAGTGGACGTATGTGAGCGGGTAGCCTACAGGAGCGCCTTTGTTAAGTGATTGTTTGACAATCAGATGAAAACATCATGACTGTTTGTTTATGCCGCGTTAAAAGGCATAGGCGACAGGTCCATAAGGCTAGGGGAAGCTAAGCTTTCCCTAAAGTAAATTGAATTAAATAGCCAAATTATATAGCCTAATTAATTGGTGTTATTTAATTATTAAAACCGGGGCGGCAGGTAGCTTAGTGGTTAAGAGCATTGGGCCAGTAATCTAAAGGTCGCTGGTTCGAATCCCCGAGCCGACTAGGTGAAAAATCTGTCGATGTGCCCTTGAGCAAGGCACTTAACCCTAATTGCTCCTGTAAGTCGCCCTGGATAAGAGCGTCTGCTAAATGACTAAAATTTAAATGTAATTAGCATACTCCTGTCTACACAGAAATACATTTAATTATTCAAAATAAGCAACTACACCAGAAAGCATCATTTGGCCACAGAGGATCATTAGCTTCTTCTCTTTTTTTTGTTGCTGTGGATTGTTTTAAATCGCATAGCCTACAGTCGGAAGGGCCCGCAATTTGGGCAGCGCACAGCAAATACCAAATAGATTATTGTTGAGTTGCGACTGTCAGTGAAAAGTAGAGACCCAGCCAGCCATATCGCAATATTTAAAAATACAATTGCAGAAAAACAGTTTGGAAAGCAAATGGCTGTTGCTGTAAAGAGATAACAATGAAAAGACTCCAATCTGTCTTTTAGTTATTACAATTCTTGACTTAATTGAGCGAACAGTAAGTAGCCTATTTTATTTGCACCAGTGGAGAACATCAGCCATATCCCTGGTGAGTGTGCATATTCACTGCTTTATCATTGGGTCAGTAACACTTTTTTGTTTGTTTTTTGGACAATAATTTCCTCCTCCAGGTTAGATAGATGTCATATTGTATTTGTGTCTCCCGTTTTTTGTAGGCCTATTATATGGATCAGACATTGTTTTTATTGATCTGTCAGTGTCAGCAAAGTAGGCTACCCTATAATTTTTGTCGTAATAAAAAAGATTCTGCATTCAGAAAGTTTTCAGATCCCTTTACTTGTTCTACATGTTGTTACGTTACAGCCTTATTCTAAAATGGATTTAATTGTATTTTATCCTCATCAATCTACACACAATACCACATAATGACAAAGCAAAAACAGGTTTTTAGATTTCTTTGCAAATTTAATAAAAATGAAATATAACATTTACATAAGTATTCAGACCCTTTACTCAGTACTTTGTTGAAGCACCTTTGGCAGACGCTACAAGCTTGGCCCACCTCTATGTGGGGAGTTTCTCCCATTCTTCTCTTGGATGGGGAGCATCGCTGCACAGCTGTTTTCAGGTCTCTCCAGAGTTGTTAAATCGGGTTGAAGTCCGGACTCTGGCTGGGCCACTCAAGGACATTCCAAGACTTGTCCCGAAGCCACTACTGCGTTGTCTTGGCTGTGTACTTAGGGTTGTTGTCCTGTTGAAAGGTGAACCATTGCCCCAGTCTGAGGTCCTGAGCGCTCTGGAGCAGGTTTTCATCAAGGATATCTCTGTACTTTGCTCCGTTCATCTGCCGCTGAAAAACATCCCCACAGCATGATGCTGCCACCACCATGCTTCACCGTAGCGATGGTGCCAGGTTTCCTCTAGACGTGACTCTTGGCATTCAGGCCAAAGAGTTCAATCTTGGTTTCATCAGACCAGAGAATGTTGTTTCTCACGGTCAGAGTCCTTTAGGTGCCTTTTTGCAAACTCCAAGCGAGCTGTCATGTGCCTTTTACTGAGGATTGGCTTCCATCTGGCCACTCTACCATAAAGGCCTGATTGGTAGAGTTCTGCAGAGATGGTTGTCCTTCTGGAAGGTTCTCCCATCTCCACAGAGGAGCTCTGTCAGTGTGACCATCGGGTTCTTGGTCACCTCCCTGACCAAGGCCCTTCTCCCCTGATTGCTCAGTTTGGCCGGGCGGTCAGCTCTAGGAAGAGTCTTGGTGGTTCCAAACTTCTTCCATTTAAGAATGATGGAGGCCACTGTGTTCTTGGGGACCTTCAATGCTGCAGACATTTTTTGATACCCTTCCCCAGATCTGTGCCTCGACACAATCCTGTCTCGGAGCTCTACGGACAATTCCTTCAACCTAATGGCTTGGATTTGCACTGTCAACTTTGGGACCTTATATAGACAGGTGTGTGCCTTCCCAAATCATGTCCAGTCAATTGAATTTACTACAGGTGGACTCCAATCAAGTTGTAGAAACATCTCAAGGATGATCAATGGAAACAACAGGATACACCTGAGCTCAATTTTGAGGCTCGTAGCAAAGGGTCTGAAATATTTATGTAAATAAGGTATTTCTGTTTTATTTTTAATACATTTGCAAAAATGTCTAAACCTGTTTTCGCTTTGTTATTATGGGGTATTGTGTGTAGATTGATGAGGATTTGTATTTATTTAATCCATTTTACAATACGGCTATAACGTAACAAAATGTGGAAAAAGGGTCTGAATACTTTCCGAATGCACTTTATCTCCAGTTATATAAAGTGTAGTAGAACAAGAAATGTATCTGATAGGCCCATTGCCTAGGCCTACTCTACGCCACTGTATTGAAGTATTTTTTTGTTAACAGTGATGGAGTTATAGTATTTGCCTAAATTATGACTATCCATTCAAATCATCACATTAGGAATAGTTGGCTATCTTACATAAGTCTGCAAATGCAAGGATGCATGGAATGCTTTATTATAAATGTGCATGTTTATGGTGAAAATTAGCTTCCCCAAACTTGAAACCCACGCTATGTTAAAAGGTAATACATGTTAAAAGTGATATGACAAATCTTTACTAGGCCTTAGCCCACAGAGATCATATATAAAATGTAATAGGGGTTCTATATGTAATTCTATGATTACACATAGGCTATACAAAAAAACAAAATTGTGCACTCTTGGGTGTCCCATACCGGTAAGAAATTAAATCTTCTTTCACCCCTGTTCATAACCATATAAGATCTATTTACTAGTCTTTATAGAGTCCCTCCAGGAGTTCGCATTGGATGTTTTGTTATTATTGCTGGCAAAAATGTTTGATTTTGCTTAGGCAATTCTGACATTTTGCATGGCGATATGCAATGATTTTGTCCAATTTGTTGCGAAAATGCGCTGATATGGAAAAAGGTTTGATGTGTGGCTTGATTGAACCATATTTTCGGTAAACGCGCAGTGATTGTACTGTGGCGATGGGTCAGTTTTAATGTGATAATATTGCAAGAATTTGACTGTTTTATGCAGAAATCGTGCAGTGATTGGTCAACTTTGCAAGCCCTTGCACAATATGCTGGGAATATTTGTGACCGCGGAATCCTGGAGGTTTATATAACACTTGTTTGTTTCGTCCTGCCCTCTCTTCAGTTCTTTGTGCCAGATGCCATCCTGAAGGAGAGGCTGGACCCAGAGACCCTGGAGTCCCTGGGACTCATAAAGCAAGCCCATCAGTTCAACCAGAAAATCGTCAAAATCAAGACCAAACTATTGTAAGTGGAGCAGTAACTTATTTTCATCTTTAAAAAAACAAAAATCCTGTAATGTTCAGTGTCAAAACGTCAACAATGTAATAAATTGAATGGTCTGACCAAGTAGCCAGCCAAAGGTTAAAACCCACATAGTCGCCCTCCAGAACTGGGGTTAGCTACTGTTATCCCCAGGTCAGGGCAGCTCTATTACTCAGCTGGGCTGAATGTGCTGTTAACCCAAAGTTACATCTCCAACCCTGGGCTATCCACCTCGCAGCCTGTGGCTGTAGCATTTAATATGTGACCATTTACCCTATAGGATGAGAGCTTTGCCATGAACGCCAAATGTAATGTCAGCACAGAATGTAGAGAAATTACATCACTTTAGTTTTTTATTTTCTTTCAGGCTGTTGTTCACACACTACCTTGCTGCAATACATTGTAATTCAGGCCGTATAGGGTTCTATTACCTTATAATACACTAGAAACACAATAAATGATCATTTCACTTGCATTCATGTGTGGGCCTAAAGTTTGAAGTTGTTTATCTAATGTTGAATGGTTCCGAGTGTGGCCTCCTACATATTGTTTTTGACTCTGTCCCCTTACAGTTACAAGCAGCAGAAGTTCAACTTGCTGAGGGAAGAGAATGAGGGCTATGCCAAGCTGATCACTGAGCTGGGCCAAGACCTCTCAGGCAACATCACCAGCCACGTCGTCCTAGAGAGTATCAAGTCCCTAATAGGTATGAAATACCTTGTCTTTTTTCATTTTCATCACGTTCTCCACAGCCAAGACGCAGCAGGCCCTTGTTGCACTCTTAGTCTCGCTGCATTTTCTGTGACAGGTATGAATAATTTCTGTGACCAACCCAGAAAGTAATGGAGATTTTAAGTTTGGCAGAAGTGCTTTTTACAGTTTAAATTGAGGGTTGAAATGTTTCCTGGGACGCTTATATATTTTTAACTTTTAAAGACAATAACTCTCCATTTAGACTCCCAAATGGGGGTTACATTACACATCGCCATATTTTGTACCCAAGTTATTCAATGTCATCTGTACACCCTTACTTCCTCTCCACCCTGCAGGATGCTTCAACCTGGACCCCAACCGCGTTCTGGACATCATCCTGGAGGTGTACGAGTGTCGCTCTGACCAAGATGAGTTCTTCCTGCCCCTCATCAAGTCCTACATGTGTGAACCCCTCACCCTCTGCCATATCCTGGGCTTCAAGTTCAAGTTCAACCAGGTGAGAGAGCAGACTCCCCACTGTGACCGTGACAGTCTGTACTCTACAGCCTGTCTGAAACTGGCCGGATAGAAACTGTACAAATTGGTATTTGTGAGGTGTTTGAGAGGAGCTACCTGTCCAAGAAGCGGAGAAATCCTTAAACAATTTAAATGAAAAGACTTCAAGGTCTTATTGATGAGAACATAAGTCTTTCCCAGGTTCTAACTTGACCTGCAAAAATGAGGGGAAATGGTGCAGTCAGACCTGATGTGAATATTAATGCTGGCAGTAGGGATGTTAATGGTTAACCGCAAAAAATAAATTTGACCTGTCATAATTTAGTGGAATTAAATTGGCTTGTATATTTTTGTTACTGGTCATGCATCTTATTTATCACACGTGCACAGAATACAGAGCCTAGTTTGAGGAGTGGAATGGCCTATCACCTGTCAGACAGCGCGAGAGCAGCTCCTCAAAAAGCTGGTACTGGAGTGAAACGTGCTTTTATAAGCCCAGTCATTAAGCAACAAATAACAATTCGAAATGCAATCGTGTGCCAACTTACGATTTAAAAATAGCTATTTTTATTTCTTAACTCGTAGTTAAAGCGTGCCTCCCATTCGAGTGCATAGAGTATAGTCAACGGTAGGCAGGCTATCAGCACGTCACCCATCACTTTACAATGTGAGCTTGAGGCAGTGTAATTGTTATACCTTGCTTCAAAGTAACCTAGCCAAAATCCAACCATAGAAATGTGGAGGCAATTCTTCTATAAAGACTTCCTCGTGCCATTAACCAGCATTTCTCTCCTGTTTTATTGGTTTTCATATGTGACCGACCGGCTCGATTTGGTCTTATGTAGCAAAATTTGAAATTGTGTTTTTTACATTGGATAAAAGTAGAGACTCAGAGCTAGAAAATTGTATATCATACACTACACTTGAGGAACAATGGGAAAGTAATTCTGCTTTGAAAGTTGATGAACTTGTAACCTCACTTTGAGAAAATGGCCCTTGAATGTTTTGGTACCAACTGGAGAGCTCTTCTTTGTCTACACCCATTCAGCATAGTTCACACCCTCTTAAGCTTTCGCCCCACCCATCTCTTTAAGGATTCACATGGCTGGTTTCTAAAGGCTGGTTTATACTACGGGTGTGTTTGTAAATTTAATGTTTGAAAATGTTGTTTTATTAGCTGCTTCATTACAGCAGTTGCATGTTCATTAATAGGCTATAGTCTTTTGACTGTAAGACGATAGGCTTGCTATTGTTGCATGTTTTCATGAAGCTCTTAAGAAACATGTCCGTTCCTTGTATGTATACATAGTCTTTTCTGTTGGTCATGTCATTTTACTGTTTGGATTATAAAAAAAAAAAATAAAAATAAAAACCTGTTAATGAGGGTCGGCAGCAAAATTGACCGAAATTTGCATCCCTAGCTGCCAGTCACTGAAATATACACTTTCGCTTCAAGTTGGGGATCAAAAGACAGCCGAGTGAATTTCTCTGTTGATTTGTACTAGACCCTACCCCCATCCATTAGCTGTTCCTCAGTATGTATTGAGTGTTCCCTGACTGTCCCTCTCCTCCCAGGAGCCCAATGAGGAGACCCCCACGTCACTCTACCACATCGCTGCCGCCCTCTTGCACCACAACCTTATAGAGCTGGAGGACCTCTATGTGCACGTAAGCATCTCTCAACTCACACCTACAGAGCATTGTCTCATATAATACAGTTCCTTCAGGAAGTATTCACACCCCTTGACTTTTTCCACATTTTGTTGTTACAGCCTTAATACAAAATAAAAAATCACTGGCCTGCACACAATACAAATTAATTAAAAATGAACATCTGAAATGTCTTGAGTCAATAATTGTTCAACCCCTTTGCAAGCCTAAATAAGTTCAGGAGTAAATATTTGCTTAACAAGCCACATAAGTTGCATGGACTTACTCTGTATGCATAATAGTGTTTAACATGATTTTTGAATGACTACTGTACCCCACACATATAAGTATCCATGAGGTCCCTTGTTCGAGCAGTGAAATTCAAAAACAAAGACCAGGGGTTTTTCAATGCCTTGCAAAGAAGGGCACCTATTGGTAGATTGCTAAAAATAAAAAATAAAGAAGACCGTGACTATCACTTCGAGCATGGGGAAGTTATTAATTAGTCTTTGGCTGGTGTATCAATACTCTGAGTTATACAAGATACAGTCGTCCTTCCTAACGCAGTTGCCGGAGAGGAAGGAAACCGTTCATGGATTTCACCGAGGCCAATGGGTGACTTTAAATCAGTTACAGAGTTTAATGGCTGTGATAGGAGAGAACTGAGGATGGACAATAACTTAAAACACAAGGCCAAATATACACTGGAGTTTCTTACCAAGAAGACGGTGAATGTTCCTGAGTGGCCTATTTCAAGTCTCAAAACTGTAATCAGCTTGGAAATCTATGGCAAGACTTAAATGGCTGTCTAGCAATGATTTTCAACCAACTTGACATAGCTTGAAGAATTTAAAAATAATAATGTGCAAATATTGTACAAGCCAGGTGTGCAAAGCTCTTACACTTACCCAGAAAGACTCACAGCTGTAATCACTGTCATTGACTCAGGGGATTGAATACTTATCTAATCAAGATATATTAGTTTTATAAGATATTTTCCAAATGTTAGAATTTTTCTTCCACCTTGACATGTTCTGTGTAGATCGTTGACAAAAAATGACAAATCCATTTTAATCCCACTTTGTAACACAACAAAATATATAATATTATTTTATATCAAAGATTTAAGACTAACATTGGTTGTCCTCAGTGCATGCCCGATTTGTGCAACAGGTGATCCAATAGAAAATCGAAATGCCTGGTGTTATAAATTGTGACCTGATGTATGACTGAGCCTGCCTTGCCTTCCCAGCTGATGCCACTGGATGCCAGCATTGTAGAGGAGCACAAGAGAGAGATCACGGAGGCCAAGCAGATCGCCCGCAAGCTCACCATGGTGGTGGTGCCCTCCGAGAAGACAGAGGACAAGGAGAGAGAGAAGGAGAAAGAGGAGGAGAAGAACGACAAGGTAAAGTAATCTCATGTTACACTCGCATACATTTCTACTATTTCAAATACATGTCTCCACATTTGTGTAACTGTTCCGCGCTAAAGCACAACTCTACTTCCACTAAGTGTCTTTCTTTAATTGCCATGATGAATACCAGTCTTTTATAAGGCTGCCTCAGTGTGCTGCTGAAGGAAAGGGAAAAGGCTTTATTGTTGTGTGTGTTAACGAGGTCTCAGTCAGTGTCTGTCTGAGGCAGGGCCGTGCTGACGACCACCGACAGACCGACAGCACAGACAGTGATTGATGGGCAAGAGGAGGTCTGTTAGAGCTGCAGCAGTTGTCGTCCCCCGCGTGCTAAAAGTAACGAAGAGCAACACTGAAGGCTTTTGTGGGCCATGTTTCTAAAATAAATTCAGCCTCCAGCCCAAGATCCAGATTGTCAGATTGCATCTATCATCTGGGTGCCTGCGTCATGCTAATGCTAAATTTAGCAAATAACTGTTTCAATAATAGTTTTTGCTGTGGCTTGCAAAAAAGTTATTTTTCTTTAAATATTCCAAAACATGCAGCCTGTTTGCAATAAGGCACTAAAGTAAAACTGCAAAGAAATGAACTTTATGTCCTGAATACAAAGTGTTATGTTTGGGGCAAATCCAACACAACACATCTTTTCAAGCAGGGTGGGGGTTGCATCATGTTATGGGTATCCTTGTCATCGGCAAAGACTAGGGAGATAATAAAATACGAAATAGACCTAAGCACAGGCAAAATCCTTGAGGAAAACCTGGTTGTCTGCTTTCCAACAGACACTGGGAGACAAATTCAAAATCGTTCAACATTAAGCTCACAGTTTGAGATAAGCGCATTTTGTTTATAGAATAGCCTGGCCCGATAAATAAGTGAGTGACATTGCATGAGCAAAATGTCAGTTTGTCCTCTAGCTAGTTCACTCATCCCACGCTCACAGCCTCTCCCTGACAGCACTGTCTTGTTACTAGGCTCTGTCACAGTTGGTTGTGTCAGTCACACACACGAATGAAGTGCAGCGTCAGGTAGGATGAGAGATTTCTAGAGTTCCTTGTTCCCATCCAGTGCTGCTGGAGAAAATTACGTCTCAGGATTTACTGACTAGGCTTTGTGTTTGCAAATCCTCCGTAACCTCTTTTAATGGGCCTGCTTTGTACTGTGTGAGATCCTCCGCTATACCTTATCGTCATAAACTAAGGACTTAGGAAGAGCTGCTCTCAGACTAACTTCTGCTGCTGCTCCAATTGCCCTGCGCTTCACTCAAGCTCACCCACACACGCACACACTCAGCATTTCCCCCTCTCCCCTCAGCCTCCTGATAACCAGAAGCTGGGGTTGTTGGAAGCGCTGCTGAGGATCGGAGACTGGCACCATGCCCAAAGCATTATGGACCAGATGCCCGCCTTCTATGCCACCTCTCACAAGGCCATCGCCCTGGCGCTGTGCCAGCTGCTGCATCTGACTGTGGAGCCGCTGTACCGCAGGTGCCCACCCGCTCCCCTGGATTCACTTAGTGCTCTTTACACATTAGTGGAAGAAATGCACACATGCACCTAAATACACAGCAACACGACATGTCAGTGTACATACACACACATAGCCAGCCAACCAAACTACAACCTCCTCTGATGCCAGCCTTTCATTTAATTGTAGGCATGCACACAGACACAACAGCAGTCGCATGCAGAACCCCCTACTGTTAACACTAGAGCAGTGGAGGCTTTATGTTGCTGTTTGTAGTACCCCTGTCTCACCTGTTTCCCTTGCAGAGCCGGGGTCCCCAAAGGGGCCAAGGGATGTTTGATGAGGCCCCTGAGGAACAAGCGGGCCCCCAGGCCTGCCGAGAGCTTTGAGGACCTGCGCAGGGACGTGTTCAGCATGCTCTGCTACCTGGGACCCCACCTCTCCCATGACCCCATCCTCTTTGCCAAGATAGTACGCCTGGGCAAGGGCTTCATGAAAGAGGTACAGGCCCTAAAGTCGATTGACGATGATTTATGCTTTATTGATCCCCAAAGGAAAATGTATTGGTATACCCTCTCCTACTCTGGCTTCATCTCACTAATTGTCCCCCTATTATTTTTTCCCCCCCCTCCAGTACCAAAGTGAGGGTAGAAATGACAACGTCAAGGACAAAATGGTGAGTTGTCAAAGTAAATGGGACCAAGAAGTGACTTGAACAGTCTTGTTGTATTAATCAGTTTTAAAAAATGCACAGAGAATAAATATAATATGAAATTGTATTTGTCAAATGCGCCAAATACAACGGGTGTAGACATTACCATGAAATACTTGCTTTTGAGCCCTTCCCAACGATGCAGAGTTAAAAAAGTAATAATAAAAAGGAAAAATAGTAACAAGGAATAAAATACACAACAATGGAACTATATACAGGGCGTACCAGATCAATGTGCAGGAGTACGAGGTATTTAAGGTGTTAGGTTCTGAACAAACAGAGTAAAAACACAAACGGATGACTAGGAAAAGCTCAAATCAAGTTTATTCACCCACTGGGTCATACAGCTGCAAAGACGAGGTATTATTACACAATCACATATATTTATAACCTCCTAATAGGCGGGGTCAACTCCTTACACATCAAGACAGCCAATACATTTATATTGCTAGGCAGGAACCAATTAAGTTTAAGATGGAAGTATGGTTGTCCCCGACAAAAATAAATCTTGGTCGACAGTCATCAGTTCAAATTTTAAAACGTATATATTTCCATATAGACATAAAATAAACTATAAGTAGGCTACTGAGCTTGTCTGATGCTTTAAGCACTGTGATTAAAAATGAAGACACACAAATTACAAAAGAGGGAGCCAGAGATCAATATAGCCTAACCAGAAGAAAATAACCTCCCGCTGCTGCTGGCCTTCGTTACGCTCCTGAAGTTGCCGGTAATAGGCTACACCAGCAGTCGGCAACCTTTTCCATTTGGAGTGCCAAGTTATCGTTACCTTTCTACTGATCTGCGTACCAGTTATGATTTTCATGGAACAGTTTCATTTCATTTACAAAAAAAGTATTCATATCTCAAAATCAATGTCATGTGATTAATCAAAATTCTATCTAAATTAAAAATAACTTCTATTGCCAATATGTAAAATTAGCCTACATAAAGCCAACAAATAAAAACATTGCAGCACGCAGGTAGAAAATATCCTGATGGAAAATAAATATCCAATAAATCACATTGGCTACGCATGGCCTGTCTGCAAGGAACTTTAAACATTGTATCAACTTTTAACTTGGTCCGGCCCATGCTAGAAAACTTGCAACATTGTATAAAATATTCTGGGCCATCGGTTTCCCATGCCGGTGAGCTCTGGACAGATAGACAAAGCTGTAGGCTATTTGCGCAAGGGATAAGAAGTCATAAAATAGGCATATCTGATTATTTATATATACAGTGGGGAGAATAAGTATTTGATACACTGCCGATTTTGCAGGTTTTCCTACTTACGAAGCATGTAGAGGTCTGTAATTTTTATCATAGGTACACTTCAACTGTGAGAGACGGAATCTAAAACAAAAATCCAGAAAATCACATTGTATGATTTTTAAGTAATTAATTTGCATTTTATTGCATGACATAAGTATTTAATCACCTACCAACCAGTAAGAATTCCGGCTCTCACAGACCTGTTAGTTTTTCTTTAAGAAGCCCTCCTGTTCTCCACTCATTACCTGTATTAACTGCACCTGTTTGAACTCGTTACCTGTATAAATGACACCTGTCCACACACTCAATCAAACAGACTCCAACCTCTCCACAATGGCCAAGACCAGAGAGCTGTGTAAGGACATCAGGGATACAATTGTAGACCTGCACAAGGCTGGGATGGGCTACAGGACAATAGGCAAGCAGCTTGGTGAGAAGGCAACAACTGTTGGCGCAATTATTAGAAAATGGAAGAAGTTCAAGATGACGGTCAATCACCCTCGGTCTGGGGCTCCATGCAAGATCTTACCTCGTGGGGCATCAATGATCATGAGGAAGGTGAGGGATCAGCCCAGAACTACACGGCAGGACCTGGTCTCTGAAGAGAGCTTGGACCACAGTCTCAAAGAACCATTAGTAACACACTACGCCGTCATGGATTAAAATCCTGCAGCGCACGCAAGGTCCCCCTGCTCAAGCCAGTGCATGTCCAGGCCCGTCTGAAGTTTGCCAATGACCATCTGGATGATCCAGAGGAGGAATGGGAGAAGGTCATGTGGTCTGATGAGACAAAAATATAGCTTTTTGGTCTAAACTCCACTCGCCGTGTTTGGAGGAAGAAGAAGGATGAGTACAACCCCAAGAACACCATCCCAACCGTGAAGCATGGAGGTGGAAACATCATTCTTTGGGGATGCTTTTCTGCAAAGGGGATAAGACGACTGCACCTTATTGAGGGGAGGATGGATGGGGCCATGTATCGCGAGATCTTGGCCAACAACCTCCTTCCCTCAGTAAGAGCATTGAAGATGGGTCGTGGCTGGGTCTTCCAGCATGACAACGACCCGAAACACAAAGCCAGGGCAACTAAGGAGTGGCTCCGTAAGAAGCATCTCAAGGTCCTGGAGTGGCCTAGCCAGTCTCCAGACCTGAACCCAATAGAAAATCTTTGGAGGGAGCTGAAAGTCCGAATTGCCCAGCGACAGCCCCGAAACCTGAAGGATCTGGGGAAGGTCTGTATGGAGGAGTGGGCCAAAATCCTTGCTGCAGTGTGTGCAAACCTGGTCAAGACCTACAGGAAACGTATGATCTCTGTAATTGCAAACAAAGGTTTCTGTACCAAATATTAAGTTCTGCTTTTCTGATGTATCAAATACTTATGTCATGCAATAAAATGCACATTAATTACTTAAAAATCATACAATGTGATTTTCTGGATTTGTTTTAGATTCCGTCTCTCACAGTTGAAGTGTACTTATGATAGAAATTACAGACCTCTACATGCTTTGTAAGTAGGAAAACCTGCAAAATCGGCAGTGTATCAAATACTTGTTCTCCCCACTATATATATATATATATTTTTTTTTTTCTTTCATGCCGAGTGGTTATCGAAAGGGAGAGAGCTGGAAAGATTTTTTACATAGGCTACGTTGAGGAACTATTGTCATTCTCAATGGATGTAAAAACGGACTTCATTTACTTGCTATTTGAGGCTAAGAAAAAATTACTTTGAGAAGCTCCACCGTGATGGTGAGTTAAGACAATCAGAGATAGTATCAGATCCCCAAATGGGCACATTTATAGGCCTACATTTGAAGGCAGGCCAGGTAGCCTAGGCCTACTTCTATGCGTAATCAGATGCGTGTCCTTACTCAAGATTGACAGGAGCGCTCCAAACAAAAGACAATAAATTGACAACTCGTAAATGGAATTAAATAAACCAAAAACTTAGGTAGCCTAGGTTGTGCGCTCTGCAAACAACGTGTCCACTCCGACAATGACAATGGTAAGACTGTAGTAAGAATAATATATTGAATGCATTAAGATAAATTACCGTAACCAAACAAGCATTGTATATTAGAAATGATGGGAATTAACAGTAAATGTACTACTGGTGATACTGGTGTGCCTCCGAAATGGATTAGTCCACTCAGACAGGCGTGAATCGGATGTCTCATGTGCCATACATTTTATTTTTACATTTGCCACTGCTCGACTAAAAAAATCTGTCGACCAACAGCCTATCGACCAAATAATCGACCAGCCGACTAAATGGGGTCAGCCCTAGAAGGAAGGTAGGATTTTTGTGGTCCTCTGTAGCTCAGCTGGTAGAGTACGGCGCTTGTAACGCCAAGGTAGTGGGTTCGATCCCCGGGACCACCCGTACACAAAAAAATGTATGCACGCATGACTAAGTCGCTTTGGATAAAAGCGTCTGCTAAATGGCATATTATTATTTATTATTATAAAGAGACTAGGAATCAGGATTAAGGATGCAAATCTGTCTTTCTATGGTTCGATTTTGGCTAGGCTACTTTGAAGCATGGTAAGACATTCCTCATTATTTGAAGTGAAGTAAAACGTTCAGGTTTTAAGCAATTATACTGCCTCAAGCTCACTTTGTGGTGGGTGAAGTGCTGATAGCCTTTCTACCATTGACTAGCCTATGCACTCGAATGACGAATGGGAGGCGCACTTTAATTGTTGAGATTGAGCAATAGAAATAGTAACTTATTTTAATCGTGGCCATCAAAACAGTTAACACGCGATTGCATTTCGAATTGTTATTTGTTGCTTAATGACTGGGCTTATAAAAGCACGTTTCACTCCAGTACCAGCTTTTTGAGGAGCTGCTCTCGCGCTGTCTGACAGGTGATAGGCCATTCCACTCCTCAAACTAGGCTCTGTATTCTGTGCACGTGTGAAAAATAAGATGCATGACGAGTAACAAAAATACACACAAAACAATTCCACTAAATTATGCAAATTAACCTATAGATCGATAATCATGTATTTTCGATTAATGCTCAACCGTTAACATCCCTAAACAGGATTGATGATAATAATAATAATAATTAGTAAAATAAAGGACAGAGTAGCAGCAGCATATTAGTGTGTGTGCGTATGTAGTTTATGTGTCTGGGTTTTGTGTGGGAGTGTCAGTGGAGTGTTTGTGAGTGTGCATAGAGTCAGTGCAAGATAGGGTCAATACAGATAGTCCAGGTAACCATTTAATAAAACATGTAGCAGTCTTATGGCTTAGGGGTAGAAGCTGTCTGGGAGCATGTTGATCCGAGCGCCGATGCTCCAGTACTGTTTACCGGACGTGGCTTGGGTGGCTGGAGTCTTCTGCAATATTTTGGGGCTTCCTCTGACACCACCTGATATAGAGGTCCTGGATGGCACGGAGCTCGGCCCCCGTGATCTACTGGGCTGTCTGCACCACTCTCTGTAGAGCTTTGCAGTCGAGTGCGGTGCATTTGCCATACCAAGCGGTGATGCAGCCAGTCAAGATTCTCTCGATGGTGCAGCTGTAGAACTTTTTGAGGATCGGAGGGCCCACGCCAAATCTTTTTGCCTCTTCCCCCTCAGGAGGCTAATCTTTGGCCATTTAATTCTGTAAGCATTCACTCACTGTGGTCTGTGCTCTGGTGGTTGATGTGCTCCTGTTCCCTCCTAGGACACATTGCTGAGTTGTTTCCTGAGCATTGCAGACCAGGTGCTGCTGCCCTCGCTCTCTCTCATGGAGTGTAACGCCTGCATGTCAGAGGAGCTCTGGGGCCTCTTCAAACTCTTCCCCTACCAGCACAGGTGAGACACACACACAAACACACAAAAAATCATAGCGGTGTCATTTTAGACTTGAACTGACATGTTTTGCCATCCATTTTGAATCCATCCCATGGAGAAAGCAAAGCCCTCACAGAGACTGGAGTATGTGGGTTTATACAACTTGTTCTATTCTCCGCCCTGTTGTGTTCTGTTGGTATTTAAAGGTCCTATTTCCAGGCTGGTCCTGGTGTATGTATTATTAGATGTCAGTGTTAACCCACCCACCTGTGTTCTACCTGTGGTCGTCAGGTACCGGCTATACGGGCAGTGGAAGAACGAGACTTACACAAGCCACCCACTTCTGGTCAAGGTCAAAGCTCAGACTGTGGACAGAGCCAAATACATCATGAAGTAAGTCACATTGCTACGCAGGCCTGGGATTTCTTGATTTTCAGGGCAAGGCCATTTGGCCGTCAAGAGGTGCCCAGTCTTTCAGGGCACCAAGGCCATTAACCAAAATAGCCAATTTAAATGGATTTGAAAACCGAAAAACAGTAGCTATTCTGTTAAGAAAAACATAAATGTATGTAAATACATAATTAGCCTACATGTCAAAGTGTAGGTGTCCACACTGATGCTGACATGAGGGAGGCGCCAGAAAATGTAGCCAATCGTTAATGAGGCTTTTTAAAATAAATAAATATACACACACACAGTGCATCGGAAAGTATTCAAACAAGCTTGATTGACGTAGCAACATCAGGGGAAACTGCGGGCAGAAGGGAGTGGTGCTTCAAATATAGCAGTTCTGCAACATTGTAAATTGAGCCTTTCATTCTCCTTAATTGCTGGCCTTATCACATTACAGAAAGAGATTAACTGTATAGGAAGCTCTGGGGACAGGTCGTCGATACAGGACAGCCAATAAATTGGCAGATGCTTTAGCGGACAACAATTCTGGTGAATAAATTGGCAGATGCTTTAGCGGACAACAATTCTGGTGAAACGGCGTTTAAGTTGTGTGGTTGCAATATCAACAGTTTTTCATCTTTGGTATATCTTGGCATGCATCATTCAAGACTAAGTTTAAATTGTGTGCAGCGAGATGGACATATAATGCACAATGTCTCAGGAAAGACGGTCTGGGTTGGCAATACTCAGTATAGAAAACTGTTGGGCCCATAACCTGGACCTAAAGGCTGTGTTGAAAACATTTGCACACTTCTGGAGACCAGGGGAGCCGGGATCCATCTGTGAAGAGCATACTCCTCCAGCGTGCAAGTGGTCATTGAAGGTGTGCATTTGCCCAATGAAGTCTGGTTACGACGCCGAACTGCAGTCAGGTCAAGACCCTGGTGAGGACGACGAGCACCCAGTTGAGCTTTCCTGAGACGGTTTCTGACAATTGTGCAGAAATTCTTCTGTTGTCCAAACCCACAGTTTCATCAGCTGTCCGGGTGGCCGGTCTCAGACGATCCCGCAGGTGAAGAAGCCTGATGTGGAGGTCATGGGCTGGTGTGGTTACACGTGGTCTGCGTTTGTGAGGCCAGTTGGACGTACTGCCAAATTCTCTAAAATGACGTTAGAGGTGGCTTATGGAACATAAAATTCTCTGGAAACTGCTCTTGTGGACATTCCTGCAGTCAGCATGCCAATTGCATGCTCCCTTAAACTTGAGACTTCTGTGGCATTGTGTTGTGTGACAAAACTATTAATATTTTACTGGCCTTTTATTGTCCCCAGCACAAGGTGCACCTGTATAATGATCATGCTGTTCAATCAATTTCTTGATATGCCACACCTGTCAGGTGGATGGATTATCTTGGCAAAGGAGAAATGCTCACTAACAGGGATGTAAACACATTTTTGCAACATTTTTGATAAGTAAGCTTTCTGTATGTATGGAACATTTCTGCGAGTCTGGAGAATCTGCGTTACGCCAGTGGTGATGGGCAATGGCTAATAAGAATTGAGATATCTGAAAGAGCCATGTGAGTGAGAGGTGCTTCGGAGCATGGCGATTGGCAGCTGGGAGAAGGGGAATTATAATTATTATATTCAGCCCAAGGGAAGAGTGGGCACTTTTTTTGGGGGGGAGGGGGGCATTACGGCCACGCAACGGGGCAAATTTGAGGCCTGTTGCTACGCCTACCTTACCAGTTAGATATAGTGCCCGTTGTTTTATCCATCGTGTGGTTGTGGCACTTAGAAGTCACATTTTATACACCCACTACTCGTATTTTCCATTTTATAGACTTTTCAGGCATCTAACTGAATTCAAGCATCCAACCAATGCCCCTTGGGTACACTGTAGCAGCATCTCTATAGAAATGCAATTCCAAAGCCAGTCAGATAAACTCAAGGTTACTGTATCCATTGAGTTCTTTATGGACCTCAGTGGTTGGTATGGAAACATGTCAAAAAATGAAGTGGGTGCTGAGAAGCACTAACATGCAGCCCTGGTTACCATAGTAATTATTTTGGTTGGCTCAGATCTAGGACTGTTCTGCAACTTTCATGGCTTTATTTGATACAAGTGCTCACATCCACTAATGGCTTGCACACAAAATGGGCCAGTAATATTTAATTTAATCCAGCTCTCAAACTGCTCACTCGCACTGCCATAAAGACACACGCATGGATACATAGACACACACACGCGCTCTCATAATAGCAGACGTGGGCTGGTGTGGGTGCCTACTTTGGTAAGGGCCTCAGGCTTGTTTTATTTCTGAATCACTGGGCTTTGTGGGGTCAGTGCCGAGATACAGCCTCACACTACTGCACATGATACACAAGGACTTAATGTTCTCTAGATTCACCACATTTTTTACTTCTATAATAGTTGGTGCAAAAAAATGATATATTTTAGCACAGTGAAAATGTTGCACACAAGTATCTCCTAAGATGAACTGTCTTCATTATATGTGGAATGATCAGCACATGATCAGAACTGGCTGTATAACGTTTACAGTGTATTTGAATTGGGCTTGATTACGTTAATAATTGGGCCATCCAGGATTTGAAACACAACAGTCACAACAAGGTCACCCAGTCACATGTTTTGGTAAACAGTTGAGAGATGGAATGTGCCAATTCCGGATTGCCCCCTTTTTTAAAAAAGAGAAACTCAACGCAAAAACAAAAATGTATCTGGTTGAGAATGGCCTATGTGGCATCGATATTAGTCAGAAACATTTATTCCAGTGGCAACATTGTCTAAAAAGTGTAAGTATAATAATTTTGGTCGTAAAGTCAGTATATTCCAAAACAGTTTTGTGAGATTTGTTTAACTGTGTACTTCACAATTTACATAAGGGTTGGGTTTGGATTACACTCATGCCCACTGTAATGCCTCAGGGTGTAACAGTTCACCAAACCCACAGTTCAGTACATATTGAGGTTTTGCGGTCACAGTTCAGTTATAGCGAGAAAACAAAATGCCAGTTTATTTTTTGTTTATTTAAGAAAATACAAAGTGTTGGTATTCCTGATTCTATATATATGATCATGAGTCATATAATGCCTGATGGAGCACAATCAGGAATAACAAAACATTGTATTTTCTTAAATGAAAACAAATGATTGCTCATCAACACTAAAATAAAGTGCAATATGCGTGTGAAATCATTATGTAAACATGGCTCAGACATTGTTTAGGCCTATGCTATGTTTTCTTACAAAGATAAAAATATGCGCACTTGTGTGACTCTCATAAAGGGTGTGTGTATAGCACTCCAGGCTGTGTCACTGTTAAGTACAGTGAGGGAAAAAAGTATTTGATCCCCTGCTGATTTTGTACGTTTGCCCACTGACAAAGACATGATCAGTCTATAATTTTAATGGTAGGTTTATTTGAACAGTGAGAGACAGAATAACAACAAAAAAATCCAGAAAAACGCATTAAAAAAATGTTATGAATTGATTTGCATTTTAATGAGGGAAATAAGTATTTGACCCCTCTGCAAAACATGACTTAGTACTTGGTGGCAAAACCCTTGTTGGCAATCACAGAGGTCAGACGTTTCTTGTAGTTGGTCACCAGGTTTGCACACATCTCAGGAGGGATTTTGTTCCACTCCTCTTTGTAGATCTTCTCCAAGTCATTAAGGTTTCGAGGCTGACGTTTGGCAACTCGAACCTTCAGCTCCCTCCACAGATTTTCTATGGGATTAAGGTCTGGAGACTGGCTAGGCCACTCTAGGACCTTAATGTGCTTCCTCTTGAGCCACTCCTTTGTTGCCTTGGCCGTGTGTTTTGGGTCATTGTCATGCTGGAATACCCATCCACAACCCATTTTCAATGCCCTGGCTGAGGGAAGGAGGTTCTCACCCAAGATTTGATGGTACATGGCCCCGTCCATCGTCCCTTTGATGCGGTGAAGTTGTCCTGTCCCCTTAGCAGAAAAACACCCCCAAAGCATAATGTTTCCACCTCCATGTTTGATGGTGTTCTTGGGTTCATAGGCAGCATTCCTCCTCCAAACACGGCGAGTTGAGTTGATGCCAAAGAGCTCGATTTTGGTCTCATCTGACCACAACACTTTCACCCAGTTCTCCTCTGAATCATTTAGATGTTCATTTGCTAACTTCAGACGGCCCTCTATATGTACTTTCTTGAGCAGGGGGACCTTGCGGGCGCTGCAGGATTTCAGTCCTTCACGGCGTAGTGTGTTACAAATTGTTTTCTTGGTGACTATGGTCCCAGCTGCCTTGAGATCATTGACAAGATCCTCCCGTGTAGTTCTGGGCTGATTCCTCACCGTTCTCATGATCATTGCATCTCCACAAGGTGAGATCTTGCATGGAGCCCCAGGCCGAGGGAGATTTACAGTTATTCTGTGTTTCTTCCATTTGCAAATAATCGCACCAACTGTTGTCACCTTCTCACCAAGCTGCTTGGCAATGGTCTTGTAGCCCATTCCAGCCTTGTGTAGGTCTACAATATTGTCCCTAACATCCTTGGAGAGCTCTGTGGTCTTGGCCATGGTGGAGAGTTTGGAATCTGATTGATTGATTGCTTCTGTGGACAGGTTTCTTTTATACAGGTAACAAGCTGAGATTAGGAGCACTCCCTTTAAGAGTGTGCTCCTAATCTCAGCTCATTACCCGTATAAAAGACACCTGGGAGCCAAAAATCTTTCTGATTTAGAGTGGGTCAAATACTTATTTCCCTCATTAAAATGCAAATCAATGTATAAAATTTTTGACATGCGTTTTTCTGGATTGTTTTGTTGTTATTCTGTCTCTCACTGTTCAAATAAACCTACCATTAAAATTATAGACTGATCATGTCTTTGTCAGTGGGCAAACGTACAAAATCAGCAGGGGATCAAATACTTTTTTCCCTTTACTGTAGCTCTAGCCCTGGAGGTCCATCCATCTGTAGTAAGTGCAACACATGGCGCATTGGCCAGTCCA